AACTCCATAACTGGTTATACGCCTAACTTTTTGGTATTTGGTCGTGAAACAATTCCCTGCGGCTCTTTTTATACCTCAGCTCGAAGTATCGAAGAAGTTACCTTTCTACCTCGCGATATTTACTCTGAAAATGCTGGATTCCTCTCATCTATTTTCGACAAAGTTCAAACTACCTTATACCTTGCTCACGCTAAAAACAGTGCACGCTATAACCTACGTCGCTCATTCAAAGAATTTAATGTCGGCGATATGGTTTGGCGAAAGAACTATGTGCAAAGTAATGCAGGTTCTTACTTTAGCGCTAAGCTCGCGCCTAAATTTCTTAAATGTAAAGTTGTTAAGAAAATCTCACCTTTAGTGTATATATTAGAAGATACCAATGGCTCTAAAGCTAAATGGCATATCAAAGACATTAAAATCTAAAACTCATACCTCGTTCACCGCATTAATTCATTCATAACCATTCATTCATTTATCACTCAAATCATAATCTCTAAATTTAATATTTTTTTTTGTTTACCCTAAAGCTCTTAAGCTCTCTCAACGTCTATAAAAGACGTTAACCTTTAAAATTTACCTCTATTTTTCTATAGAGTACTTTTCTCCAGTGCTCTACCTTACTTAACCTCTTTAAAGGCAACTAAAGCCTTTACTTTAACCTTTACCTAAGACTACCCTAATGGTCTTCTCTACCTTAACCCTACATTCTTAAGTACTAAATGATACTTCTTTCCGAGCGGCTGACTACTCGTTAAAGAAGCCTTAGGTCCGAGCGGCTGACAACTCGTTAAACAAGCCTTAGGTCGGAGCGGTTGATTACTCCTAAAAGAAGCCTAGGTCAATATTTTTTTTTTCCACTTATGGAGCGGTTGACAACTCCCTAAATAAGCCTGTCGTTATTAAGGAACACCCTTCTAGAGTGGCAGTCATTGATCGTGAACTCCACCCTTACCTGTATGAAGTTGAGGTATGATAGAAGAGGAATGTGTATTTGTATGAATGGTTGTATGTTTCTGCGAAGTAGTGTTCCTCGGATCTCTTTTGGCCTTTTCTTTAAGCAAAATTTTCTCTAGTCGAAAATTTTCTGGGGTCGTGGGGGAAAATGTAACGTACCTTAATATGGTTTCGACTCATGGTTTCGATTATCATAGGTTCCATTTCGCACATTTTATCATATAACATCATCGATATTCATCAGGCATCATCATATATTTTATCATTTATTCCTGGAAACACATAATTTCAAAAATATCACACACTATTCATCACTTTGTAAATACGTATAATAATTTCTTCTGTACTGAAAATCACTATTCCAGAGTGCTGGACACTTACCGGCATTTCTCTTTATTCTGTTATTTACTTGTTTTCACTTATTATGCTTTGATTTTATCTATATTTAATTTATTTATTTTATTGACATTTTATGACAACCTAATGTTTTTTATCCGTTGCCATGGCTACCCATGACACGGATACTCTCTCCAACTACGTCTATGACTATTCAACCTCCACAGACCACTTACTTTGATTCTTTTTGGCTCGATTCGAACCGTGTCTAAATTCAAATGGTTCCGGACCTATAAAAGGCCGAGCCTCCCTGATCATTTATTCAATTCTACGGCAAAAGTTGCCTACTCAACTTTTGAAAGCTCGCTACCGAGCTCTAAATTAATAAAAGGCCTTGTCCCGGGGCCGACTGCCCCGGGACTCAAGAAAGACCTCAAAGCTTTTTAGCACCTATTGGCTCTTTAAACAACTTCCTAACTCCAATACTATACTACTATACACGTTCTCGCAACCTCATCGGTGGGACTGCGCCTGGTCTCTAGCTTCTTCGGCCAGCCTCCAGCTGCTTCAGCCCGCCTTCTACCGACTCCTGCCGTTTCTTCAACGCCCGCCTCTGGCCGATATACGCCGGCCAAACTACCAGCAGCGCCGCCAGCAACCACCAGGGGAGGCCAAGATCTAAGACGGCTGCACAGGAGCGCTTCTGCCTCCAAGGAGCGCCGTCCATCTACCTGTAGCACGACCTACCGTTCAAGCCGCCCCTGAAGATCGCCGACGACCCACGCCCTACCGTTCAAGCCGCCCCTGAAGATCGCCGACGACCCACGCCCACTTCACAACTCACACTACACACATATTCCATATTTTTTCTTGTACTTTATCTGTAAATAGTACTTTATCTTGTAAATATATATTCCTATACTGTTCTTTTGATTTTTTTTTTCTTCCTTCCTATCTAGTTTTATTTTGTTGCTACACAACACCTTTTGGGGTGGTATTATGATTGGGGCTAGAACGCCTGTAATCCCTTATTAAGGCTTCTTGACGGCAGACAGATACAAAACAGTCGCTATTGATGGACTCGTCAGACCTTTCCGAGTAAACAATGGGCACCAATTTGTACTGGTTGACGATAATGCGCCGCACATCGAGCTCAACTAGTTAATGCTGCTCTCCGAGAATACGAAATCACAAGGTTAGATTGGCCTGCCGGCTCTCCTGACTTAAAACCAATAGAGCCCGCGTGGGATGCTCTTCAGCGAGCTGTTTGGAACCGGCAGCCGCCACCCCAGACATTGCCGCAGCTCACCGCACGGCATGTGTTCGAGCCAGAGGAGGAGTTATTTTGTAATTGAGAAAGAACAATTTATTAATAAAAGGTTTTTAAGTTTGGTTAAACAATCATTTTATTTCTATCAAAGTTCTATTACAATCGCCTTGGGATTGAATTATTAAATTTTTTATACTTAACTATATTAAATTAGTTTTATTTTTTAATTTCAGAAAGTGTATTTTTAAATAAAATATGATATAACGTCAACATTTTCTAGTAATTACGTTAAATTTTAAAAATATCAGCTTTTGCAAGTGATCTCAAACTTTTTTTGATGTGTGTACCTATTTTTTGAAGTGAAACGCTTCTTTAGGCACGCTTGACTTGGGAGGTAAACTGGCGAATGTGTTACGATTTTGGCGTAACACATTCGCCAGTTGTGCTCACATTTTAAATCTTAGTGGTGAAACCGAAATTATTATAAAATTCAACATGCTAAAGTTATTTTACAAAAATTGCAATTAAATTTAATTAGAAATTAAATTACATTTTTAGGTTTAATTTACCATAACAATGAAAAAAAGTAGATAAAATAATGTCTAATGCTTTAATCGTGTTTCAATGATTTTTAGCCTATCCGCCTTCAAAAGCCAATTACAACAAAAATAGGCTGATTAAGTACAATTTTTTTATGATTTTTGGTCGATTAGACGCATGCGGAGTTTTTAATTTTAGCCAGAAGCTATGAAAACTCCTTTTTGTATTTTTTTTTGTATTGAAGTTGAACATTTGAGTAAATCCTACTAAAAACTAAAGATCCAACTTTCAAGCCTTTTTTGAGTAACTTTAAGTAATTGCAGGAAGTTGAGTTTATTGAAGTTATACTTCTTTAGGCGCGTTATGAAAAAATGATGAGAGTGAAATTTTAAGATGCGCGCGCATCACTGTAACACAAAATTTTAACAGCATGAAGTTGGTCGCTTTAGCGTTAATGCACAACTGCATTGTGAAGGCCTATCAAAAGTATTTATTAATCTGGAACAACGGAACCAAAGCGCGATTCAGGAGACTACAGCGCCATCTCTTGACCATTGGTGTAGTAGAACCAAAAACCACATCTTTATTTTTTGTAATAAAGTAACAGTTATAGGTATTCATAATTATAATATCAAAAGTATTTATTAATCTGGAACAACGGAACCAAAGCGCGATTCAGGAGACTACAGCGCCATCTCTTGACCATTGGTGTAGTAGAACCAAAAACCACATCTTTATTTTTTGTAATAAAATAACAGTTATAGGTATTCATATTTATAATATTTATCCACATGTTTCTAGTTTGTATATTCGGAATACGTGTTTGAGTTTCATACAAGAGCAAATCACATATGTTCTAATAAATTATATTCAGTAGCGATTTTAATTGAATATTTTGATTATTTATTTATTTTTTCAAATTAAAACTGAACTTTATTGACTGTGTCCTTTTCCAGACTTTTTATTAATTTATTGAAATTAATTATTTGCATGCAATTAAAAACTAATTTTAAACGATGCCAAAGAAGGATAACTTCTCACGCGCCTACATAAGTACACGCACCCATTTTTTAATTTTTTTATTAAAATAACATTCAAGACAATTATGTTACAAAAAAAAACTGCCAAAACCTACTACGAAAAAAGATAAGAATTTTTGAAACCCCGCTGGCAGAAATCATTAAAAATACACAAAAAAAATACAACTCGAAAACTAAGAAAAATCGCGGAACATACATAGGATATTTTCGGATACCCCCAGGCGAGGAATCTAAAAAAAATTTGTTGACGTCACTAGTTGGACCACCCTGTATAAGTCTTGTTCTATATCTTTGTTCTCGAAATGAGCTATGGTTATGAAATTTTGCATTATGTGGGCACTTCTAGACCACTTTTTTTTGTGAATTTGGTTGCATAACAATAAGCCGTTTTCGAGATTGGCCTGGTGTACGCTACCTTGATCGTCACGCCTGCGTACACTATGAGAACATTTATTATTTCCTAAACTAAAGGGGAAGGTTTTTTTTTATTATTGCACTAATTATGCACTATTTATTAGCAGAAGTAACAACCGCGAATTCGATATGGGGGCATGACGGACACCCTCCTGAGTGCAACTTTTTCCTGACGTTTCTATTTTGACTTAAAATGTACCTATGAAACAAATTAAAATTTACATTAGTTGCACCTGGAACAAAGCTATGGAACGATGCTCAATATTTCAATTGATTATAAATATTATCAATTAAGTAGGTGGCTACACCGTACATCACTAAAATCTACATTCTTTTTTTACGTCGAACTACTACTGTCATCCATTGTAGTCGGTGTTGCCAAGTTGCTTACCGAGGTGGGTTTTCGGTTATTTTACCATAAAATAGCCTGCAATTTATTTATTAAGACAAGACTAGAATTTTTTAGTATTTCTGAATGGTTTTCCTAGACAAATTTTAAATATTTTGTACAAATCAACCACTTTGGCTCAAATAAATATACGTAGATGTAGGCATATAATAAGTGATTACACTTCTTGTAATTGTAAATAAAAGCGACTCGATAAATATTATTTTTATTTATAATATTAAAAATAGTAAGATAACTACAGAACACAGAAACAACTTGCAGTTCAACCGAAAGCGACGCGACGCGACGACGACGACGGACGTACAGCTTTTTACATATTGGAACTTTTTAACGATTATGACCGGGATGGCATGGCAACATTTGTCGTAAAAAAAGTAAATTAGTCGTGTATTTTGTGCGCTGCGAGATTATTGTACGATAATTTTTATGTGGAATAAAATTAATGCTCGATGTTCGCATTTTGTAAGTTTTTCAGTATTGTAATAATAATTTGTAACTTGGAATATTGATACTACGTGGTGTGAATAGGTATTCAGAAAAATGTCGTCAAAATGAAGTGTTTAAAAGTGAATTATATCAAAAAAGCTTCTATTTGCATATGATAAGCATAATTTGTGACAATGGATGATGAAGAGGCTGACTTGCGTGAACAAATATTTCATAACAATGTCAGGGAGCAAATCGTAAGTGCTAGTGATCATTTAGCTACCATTTACTAATTTTTTTGGTTACCAAAAATCCTTCAAATTAAAACTGATAATTATTTACATCAAACGAGCAGGTCGATACTTTGATAGACACTGTCATTTGGCAAGCAATGGACACGTCCAGTACAATTTTGGCCAAATAACATTTTATTTTCTCCTTCAATCGGACAACACATTGACTATTTCTTTTGATAACCCATCAAATTTGCTATCTTACTTTCGTCTTAAGATTTTATTGAAAGACTAAATAAAAATGCATAATATTTAATAATAAATTATCAGCCACATACCAAATCCACATTGTATTTATAAAATTTTTCACTTAATTACATCACATTGTATCATGTCACCCCTGAAAATAATATAAGATAAAGATTATATTATATTATAATAATGCAACAATTATCTTGAAAAAATATTGTGTCCTCCATGAGTAATTAATAAATAAACTTTCAATACTTAATTGTTTGTTTCAGATTTTTTTGCTTTTATTCATTTTACTCTACCTCTTCTCATTTGTATTAATTGAGAAGTTCAGACGGCGAGACAGTGAGGACTATTTCACAGCAGATGAAGATGAAGTTAAAGTGTATAGGATCAGCTTGTGGTTGTGCACATTTGCATTGGCTGTGTCCTTAGGCTCTGCCCTTTTGCTGCCTGTATCAATAGTCAGCAACGAGGTGCTCATTTTGTACCCCAATAGCTATTATGTTAAATGGCTCAACAGCTCACTAATTCAAGGTAATTTTCAAGTTTTGTTATGTATTATATTGTCTATTTGGTAAATTTATTTTAATAAATGGAAGTAAAGGGGATCAATGAAGGAAAATTTGTTTACTTACATGAAAATAAATCATGTAGGAGGTGAAAGGGGGGTGACAGTTTGTATAGAAAATTATTCTATAGTATGTAGATAAAGCCAAGCATCCATCCTCTTGTTATCCAAAAAATCTTTAAAGAAACTATTGTATTTTTGTTATTTTTTTAAATATAATTACATTAAGAAGTCAGGCACTCCAGCCTTATGGGCACTTTCAGACCCTAAGAGATAGGGTAAAGAAGATGTATAAAATAATTGCATTATCCAAATTCAACTGTTGAGGCTTGATATGAATATTGCACCAGCACCCCAATACATTTTCCCTTTCAGCTTTGCATTCAAGGCACACTCTAACTATAAATCTATATAAATGAAGTGTAAATTAATAAAATTTATTCAAGTTGTCTTTTAAAATGCTCTTTCAAATCGTCCTTATATTTTTTCCTACCTATATCTATCCTTCTCAGTAATTATTACAATTATTTAAAGTCATTTTTTGTTACAGGTCTTTGGAACCATGTGTTCCTCTTTTCAAATCTCTCAATGTTTGTCTTCCTGCCTTTCGCTTACTTATTCTCGGAATCCTCAGGATTTCCCGGGTGTAGGGGACTGAAGGGCAGAGTGTATGAAACATTCATAGTTTTGGCTTTGCTGGGTATAGCCATGCTGGGCTTGGCTTACGTCATATCAGCATGGTTAGAAGGAGACCGATCCAGTATTGATGCCTTACTTAGTAAGTAATTTTTTATTGTAACAATTAAAAGATGAACTTTTTTAAACTTATATGGAAGTAAATTTGTTTAACATACTATTTCTATTAGTAACTACATGACAAATAACTACAGTGCTGAAATATAAATAGCCAACAGATTGAATAGCTATAATTATACAATTAGGTATTACACATTATTATTAAATTATTTTATTTTCAAAAGCCAGTTCAGTATGAATCATGTAATTGAGCTTGGACCAACCTTGTTTTTCTGATAAAAAAAGCCTTTATCAAAGCTACCTGTTTATAAAACAATAATTAAAAATCTAAAAAAAAATCTGATGAATGTAGCATGTCAAAAACGCAAGGCCGCCCCCAACCTCTACAGGATGTCTAGTTGATGTTCGTATCTTGGAAGAAATACTCTTTCTAATCTTCTCCACTCAGATCTGTTTTTCAATAGATAAATAAATATTAGGCCCAAAGTTAGCACTGTAAGGCTTGTATTATGGGATAGTATGGTAACAGATAGAATACATATACAGTACATATATTAAAAACATAAGTATATTTATATAGAAAAAATATCCATGACTGGAGTAGTGGAGTAATAATTAATTAATAGACGAACTCTGATTTTTACAAAGTCCTGTGTTTTCGTAATAAAAATACGCAAGGTGAAAGAAAAACATTTCACTACGTCAAAGTACAGACTAGTATTTCGTTTTACTCCGATCTATTAAAGAGAGCAAATGAAGTTTAAAATGATAAAATTTTAATAATCATGCAATTGTCGAACATTCGATCAGCTTCCTCCGCGCGGACGGCGCAGGCGCACGTTGTTTTCATGTTTAATTGCGCGTGAATGGTGTTAGCTGCGATTGTTTAGAGTCAATGTTACTGGGTGAATGCGCACCGTACCGCCTATCGCCCGCTGAAAATGTGTCACAATCGTAAATACCCTACCTAACCTAATTATTATATGATGGCCTATCGGTATTATATATTAGCGAGTTAGTTTTCAGATTAGATAACCTAATAAAAGGTTATGTGAAATACATCGTTGGTTCTTTTTATTATGGTAGGCAGTTAGGTACTATAGTTAATTACAGTAACGATGTTTACAATATTTATTTTCACTCTTGATCTATTGTAAATACTCTATTCTTAGCCCATACAGCACTTCAGGATTAAGTCATTCACCTACTATCTTACCCTTAGTTCAGTAGAGTCACGTCAGTATGCTTGTATACTAAATTGATGTTTGTTATTTATCTGTAACTAGCGGCCGCTCGCGACTTCGTCTACGTTAACTTTAGTTTGATCATGATCCCACAGGACCTCGTCATTTTATTGGGATAAAAAGTATCCTGTCTCAATCCAGGTCATAAACTAATTATATGGCTACCAAAATTCATCTAAATCCGTTCAGTACTTTTTGCGTGCTTGAGTAACAAACATACAATCTTTCAGTCTATAAGATTATTTTTAAGGAACTACGATCTTTTTCTGCCACTCCGAAGGGTTGGTCTCATGAATATGAAAAGTTACTCTCAGCCGTCTTAAAGTATTCTTCTTTCTTCTAAGTTCTTGGTTTGACTTCACTTCTTTTGGTGAATAATGTGAAAACGGTTTCGTCATTGTAAAGCAGAAAAGCCAACTCATAGCATGCACCATAATAAAATATTCCAACGTAAAATTTTCCCTTGTGTTTTGAAGCGTCAGTGGCAGGAACTTAATTATTTAGGTTTTCGAGTAGGATAGTTGTCGAGTGTTTGTGAATTAAGTCACTAACTTATTCATTCGTGAACTTAGTGCGGTGCATAGTTGATTACTTTCAACTTGTTTTGTTTGAATGTTAGCTGGACTAGGAACCCAAAAAATAGATAGACTGCTCCAGCCCCTTTTTCGTACAGCCAGTAACATCATTAAATTTAGATACATAAAATGCACAGAGCCGGCAAAGTGATGCCATCAATAAAATATCGTATCGCTGATATTCCACAATCCAGTCCCTGTAGCATGATCACTACATTTTACATTATATCACGTTTTTTATCGCGTCTAACTGTCAAACTCCATAGTAATTTGACAATTGAGCGTGATAAAAAAATAATATTTGGAGTCTGTGCCAGTGCCATGCCAACCCAAGTAGTAAATGGGAACTCAGATCTATCAGACCTGCATGGCACCGACTATAATCCAAATATTAATTTAACTAAAGATAAAAAGAAAAAAGGGTTTACTATTTTTCACTTTTAGGCTGTTAAATTTTTTTTGTACAAAGTTTTTATTTTAAAATATTTAGTGGCTATAATTTTTCTAATATACAACGCGGCATTAAAATATGTGAGTGAACAATCACCCCTATTTACCCACCCTTCGGGTAGTTTTTTCCAAATTTATGTGAGACAAACCTTGACTTTCTGATGATTCCTTTAACAAAACAGATTACTCTGTAAAAAGTTATGTGTGTGTGTGGTCATACATTACAATCAGTAAGTGAACAATCAATCATCCCCTGTTGACACTTAGGGTTGAATTTTTGTCCAAATTCATATGGGAGCAAAAATAAATAATAGACCCTTTCCAATAAAAAAAGAATTATAAAAATCTTACTACTTTGTAAAACGTGGTTATACATCAAAACAAATTAACATACGCATCGACTTGAGAACCTCCTCAGTTAGTTTCGTCGGTTCAAAACACGCCATTATCGGGAAGTTGAGAGAGACAAGTGAGATTGCTCGGTTGCAAATTTTGATTTCCATACTTTCCATAGATGACCTTTTCTTATTTTGGCCTTAGATTACTTACTATATTTTTTAATAAAACGTAAAATAAACTGGACAATAAGGCCCAACCAATACCTTAAGGCGTGTGTGATCTAATTTCACGTATTTTCACAGAACTTACAATGATATTCTCATTTTTGTTCACAGATTTATGGACATATTTGCCTTTCCTGTACTCCTGTGTGTCTTTCGTTGGTGTCTTGATGTTATTAGGTAAGTGTGTTTTTAAAGTTGAATATTTTTTTTAAATCAAATAAGCATGTGTGACTCGTGTGATGGTAAGCTGCTACCATAAGTACCCCATTCTTCAGTGGAGCCGTAGAGACTTTACTTACCGTCAACACAACACCGATAAATCGTAGTGTGTCTACCGTGATTTTCTGCAAGACGGAGGTTACTTCCTCGAATGGGCGTTCCAATTTGAGCTAAAGACCCGCTTAGTATTCTAAGGCTCGTATTACAGAATGAGAACTAAGTGTTAATCTTTACTTGAGTACATTTAGAAAAGGATGTCGCTATGTGCTATATATAGCGACATCCCTTTCTATCTATGCTCAAGACTAGATTAATTACTGAGAATCTTTCTATAATACGGGCCTAAGACCGTTTCGTTTAGGAGAAATAGGGATCTTTTAAATAGTAAAATATATTGCCAAGTAGCATTATATTAAAGTGATTCTTGTTGATTATAGGTAGGCACTGCCAATGGCTTTAGTAGAGATAGACCGGACATTCTTCAACGTTCTTCTTCAAGGAATATATTCATTAGTGCAGTATCCTTGTCTCAACTGATATCTATTATCGACAATCAAATTGCAACATACAATCATTACAAAATTAATTTTATCTTTAAGTTACCGTATAGACGTAGATATATTCTTATCTATCATTTAGTTATTAAATTTCAGGATGTAGATAACATTCATCAGATATTTCACCCACTGTAAGACAAAGCACTAAAAGACTTTAGGAAACGAAATGAATTTTAATTTCATATGACAAAAACATTTTCAAAAAAATCAAACGGATATTACGGAATTAGGCCACACACGACGATACGTAAGCAGTTGTAAAATGGATTTCACGATAAATTTAGCATACAACCCTGGTAAACATTAATAAAGAAAAACAATACGTACACAATTCACTATTACGTTGAACTAAAATTAACTATCACCTTCTTCATCTACTTCATCTTCTAAAATATTTTGTTTCTTATCCAAGAAGTATTTAATAAGATCCTCGTGTTGAGTGAAAATTTCATTCAACTCTTTCCTGCACTCCATATATTTGTCCGTTTCATCTAATTCCTTATAAGCCTTGGCTCTGTAGAGCCGAGCTTTGAAGCTGTTTTCGTTGAGACGAATAGCTAAATCACAGTCGTTAAATACCTGCAATGGATGGGTTAAACATTAATCTTCCTACATAAAGATGCAAGACTCACGAGGATAATAATAAGAAAGTGAATGAACTCTCTATGAAGGACCTGAGTCAGCTATTCTATAAATATTTACGAGTTCCTTTTTTATGCCTCTTTTGTACCTACTAAATATGGGTGATGTGTGGATGATTTTCGTGTCGTCATCATCATCAGCCTTTTAATATCCTTACTGCTGGGACACGCGCCCTCCCCATGAATGGAATAGGGAGATTGGATTGGTGGATGCCAGCTACTGCAGATGCAGCAGGGACCAACGGATTAACGTGCCTTCCGAAGCACAGAGGAGCTCGAGATATTAAGTTTTTGATCACCCATCCAATGACCGTCCATTGCGACAATTCTTAATTTCCACGATCGCAGACTGAACGCGCTAACCACCTGCGTCGTCAAGCTCCTCCATTTTCGTGTAATTCATTCTTAAAAAGTAGATAAATTCAAAATATTTAATTATGTTTGCTTGGTATTAATAAAGATGAACGTAGTTTATCAGAAATGTGACACTACAAAGTCCGTGTCTTTATCTCCAGGACCTTCACTGCATAAATATTTCAAAGTTATTTTTGTTTACTAATCTTGTGTTAAAGAAAACTATTCTGAGCTCTAGATGTACTAAACAATATACCTATGTTGTATCTAAACGAGTAACTGTGTTCATGAGGACAATGACCGGCCATAATTGATAAAAACTCCTTAGAAGTAAGGTCGGTGTGAGATTTTTAACTGAAGAATTGAGAATTTTATTTATTATTGAAAAATTATTACTCCGCGCGCAGTCTACCAGTACAGTTACGTTAATGTATCGGAAGTATCAAATCTAGATTACAGCATTCCTTAATTAGTTTAATTTGCGATTTCAGTTAAGTGTGACATAGTTAATAGAGTGACAGTAATTGCACTAGATTATTGTTTAAGAAGCAGTAGGTTATTTTTTCTATTCGGATTCTACTAAGACGTTACAAATAGCTTTCTTTTGTTTTCAAAATATTTGCATTACCTTATCGTATTTTCCAAGTTTAATATTGGTGAGAGCACGATCGCAATACAGCATAGGATTGTCCTTGACTTGTTCTATAGCCCGGTTGTAACAGGACAGCGCTTTGTCGTATTCTTCGCGGCGGAATGCCTTGATGGCCTGCGTGTTTAGTGTGTCTGCTTTCTCTCGCCGGATTTTGCGGTCGAGGGCTCGTCTCTCTGCGTCCTTGCTTACTTCCGCCATCCAGGCATCTTTGTCAATTTCAGCCTGCAGTTAAGAAACGTATATTTTAACGTATTTTTTTATATATCATTCTACTGACCTAAGTTATGTAATTGGATCTGATTTACCGACATTGAGCAAACGCTCGCGACGCAGCCTAATAGGTTCGATGTTTGACACATACAGTCTTCGATAGCGAAGCAACTTTCTCAGACTTAATGAGGATAGATTAACCGAAATTTACTATCTCGTACCTCTGAAACTATGTTGCGTACACAATCCTTTCTTTAAACTTACATGGAACGACGAACGATTCACAAAAACATAAATAATGTTTAAGAGAGCTAATTATGTTTTAAAAATATGTTCAAAATAACTCAGCAAAGTCTTTCGTACGATGTATTTAGAAATATCTTTGTGTAAGTATGCATCAGCTTAAAATATTTTGGTGACAATGGCGCACTACTCACTGGCGTACCTCTGTTCTATTTACGTAAAAATAAACTTCCATTGTGTTAAATACACAGTTAATAGTTTTTATATAGGCTTAATCCTAGATCTAGGTGGATCTTTATGATAAGCATAGATAGAGGGAAGTCTATATTTCGAAATGCTTTAACATTTATTTATTTTGTTTAGAGCGAGCGTTGTTGCCAATAATTTATTGAATGCTCGTGAAAGTAGGTGCCGCACGTAGCTATTGTGCTTGAGTGTCGAACAGATTTTCCATCAAAACATTTGTGCGCTAATGCGATAGAGAAATAGTCGTGTAAAACTACGAACTTAGGATTGTATATTTGTTTGTCTAGACAGGATAGAACAATTCAAACAATACACGTGAATATGTATTTATATAGAGAAGCATGCCAAATTGCTTTCTCTTTTAGAATAATAAGTAGGTGCATCTAATCACGTCATGAGCCACGACATATTGTAAGCAATTAATGAATGCCCGTCGACCCAAATACGTCGTACGCAATATACATTCAACGCTCTGGCTATTATAATGTTTGGCATCTTATCATATCATGATAATCCTATTAATATAAACTCGGTCCACGAGTTCATTAGAGGGGCTATAGATTTTTTTATAGTCAGTATTGAAATAGATGCCTGAAAGCACAAGTCTGTTAGCGTGTTAGATAATTGCAACTTAAGGTCACCAGATTACGCACACTTGCTCATAGCAGTCTTGACCCTGACTTTTTAATGTTTACAATGTTTTGGCAAAGGGCCATCTTTTTATAGCTTTTATTTTCCACATCGGCTTACCGTATCATTTTTGTCCAAAGATTGGAATGCTTTCTTGTTAATTATTGTTCTATTATCTTTGACCTTCATTTCTATATCGTCATCACTGATAATTTTTCCTGCGAGATATTGGTCAGCGACGCTTTGAGCTGCATCAGCTTTTTTTTTATCTCCACTAGCCATATCTCTGACAAGGTTCGAAACTTCGCCCACACGTTTCATAAAGTTGTTAAATTCATCATTATCTTGCATTGCCTCGTATTCTTTTAATGCAGGATTATTCAAAATACTTCTGTAACTCATCTTGACTTCCGTGTTTTGATATCAGAAACTATGTTTATGCACTGACGTTTTTAATCCCCTTTTCATATTGACATAATAGCGTTCATAGCAACCGTCACCAAGGCAATGTTAAACTGCATAGAGAAGTTATCACTCATGGCAAAATCCCAGGTCCATCAACTAATGCTTAAGCCATGAACAAACAAATCGATTATTATCGCACAATTTTAGATTTTGACTTTATAGTAAAATGCCAACTTAGACGAATAGTGGTTTATTCATCAGAGAATACAATTATGATTTAGATGTAGAATATACCTACGATCCAACAACTGCTCGATCATTTAACAATAAAAAAAATAAGTTTCGTTGCTTTTTATTTTAAATATCCGTAGAGTATTAGAACTGGTTCTAGCCTTGAATTGAAGTCGGGGGCAGTATGATATACGTATGAATCTTCACCCTTAGAGCCTGAGCTGCTTTAAGCGCAGGCTCATACACCCCACCCCTGAACACCATAGAAAAATTACACTACCTTTTGGTTGGTTTTGTTTCAGGGTACTGCGGTTTTGAAAAACTGGACTAATGTTAAAAAGTCGTTATTTGGTATACTTTCTGACCACTTTTGACAAAGTTCTTATTTAATCTTAAACTTATTAAACCATTATGTTACGTTTGAGTGAAGTCTAGTTGCCTCAGGTACTACCCACCCAGGGATATCTGTTTCCAAAAATAAGATACCTATGCCATAATCTCATTTTTCTACGGCAACGGACTCTGTTATAATATTCATAAGTTTCTTAAATTTTCTTTTCCTAATTACTTTGTTTTTGTCGTAGTGTTCACACCTTTGGGCTTCGTGAGGCTGTTTGGAGTGGTGGGCGGGGTTCTCGTGAAACCACAATTCCTGCGGGATCTCAATGAGGAGTATTACATGTACTCGTTCGAAGAGGAGACCTTAAAGCGACGCATCAATAATGCCGTCTCTACAGGTAAGACAACGCAAAATATAATAAGTTTGTTGTCAAGCTGACCCGGTGAACGTGGCAACGCGATATTTTATGAGGCTTGATTTTTTTATACAGGCTTAGTCCTGACAATAAAGAATAAAATATCCATTTGGCGTAATGGTTTGGAAGTTATGTGCGTAATTTACATTTCGGCGATTCATTTTTATTTATATACTTAAACAATTAATAAAATGAGAATCTAAATGTGCTATGCTAAAGGACAATGCCAGAAGTTCTATAGAGGTTTAACCCACCCGATAAAAATGGTGTACACGAATGCGATAAATGACTTTTCATAGCTGTAATATTAGGAATCAAAATAGTAAAGTTCTAAATTCTCTAGAAGCTGTGGTTATTGAATAATATACTTACAAAGAGTACAATTATCATGCGTTTCTCGAGCTGCAATTTGAGCAGAAAATTGGAATTTCTATAAATTATTATTCAACAGTGTCCGTATTGTAGGTTTGATAGTGTTTAAACGGCATGCCTTTGTATTCTATCGACACATAAATAACAATTTATGCATCTCAACATGGTTCCAAATCACAAACGACAATGTCATACAAATCCTTTTGTTTGACGGAAATGTCAATCAAAAGGATATCAATCCAGAGTAACGTTTAGTTTCACATATTTACTACCACTTAATAATGTGTATGCGCATTAAAAATACAAGGTACTATAATCGTTAAACTTTTTTATAAACATAAATTAATTATATTTATAACCGAAATGCTTATTTTATCCATAATATTAAAAATAGAATGATATTTTGCGAAAACTTGACTGGTATTTTATTGTTTGTCGTGAAACAAAACGCATATGCCATGTTTTCGTTCTTCTCTTAACGGAAACAGTAGATACAAATTATTTTAATATTTATTTCGTATCCGCCACTTTTACAAAGTAATAATTAAATCGGTACGAGAAAAAAAGTCGTATATATTTTTTCATAAATTTAATATTACTGTATATGGTGGGTCAGAATCTGTCATTGTCATTTGTTCTCGCAGATTCGAGAGACCGCGTATTTTGCGTTACTGTTGTATTTATCTTCTAACTTGCTGTTGGTTGGTAGAGTAGTGGATATCGTTATTTTAGGTCACTGTCGAGACGAGAGCACAACTTTAACATGGTAAGTTAGTTTCTGACTCGCAGACTAGGTACTTTGTTGGCTTACTCTCTGTGTGCTTACCAAAATTTGATTAAATATGGGTCACTCATTGCTGCTTTTATATATGTTCGGCTATATATATTTTACAGCTGGATTGAATTATGCAATAAGTTGAAGACAAATTTAGAAATATTTGCTGACCACAAGTTGCTGCCCAACTAGATATTTTGGCTAAGCAATCATTTTTCTTGGTAACAAAAATATACGAATTTTACGACGAACTTTCCTAACCGTTTAAATAACAACCTTTTAACGACCTCCGTGGCCGAGTGGTTTGTACGCCGGGTTTCATGGTGTCGCCGACGAAACATGGTGTCCCGGGTTCGAATCCCGGTGGGGGCAGATGTTTGTGTGATGAATACGAGCATTTGTTCCCCAGTCATGGATGTTTAATATGTATTTCTATATAAATATACTTATATATGTATATATGTATTCTATCCGTTACCCTAGCATCCCATAACACAAGCCTTACAGTGCTTACTTTGGGGCTAGGCTAATTGGTGTGAGTGTTGGAAATATTTATATTAAAAATATTGATTGTTTGTAAAAATATAACGCCCGTGAATAAGTGTTCTCAGTAGTAGTAGATATAATAAGTTTACAGGAAAACTGTCTCTGATGAGATGGCTTGTCAATTTTACGAGTTTTAAGTAGACGGAGAAATGAAACTTTCGTACAAAATTCCTTTTTAATGTTCCGCTCGAATAATGAATTGGAGTGGGTGACTTTTAGCCTGTGCTCATAAGCACAAGCACAGATTTAGTGCCCAGAATGCTTTTAGACTAACACCCAAGTGCTAGCTACTTATAAGTTTGCGATTTGTGCTTTGTGATTGCCAACCCCGGAACCCTTCATTGCGCATAGCCGACACACACTTGGCCTCTTTTTTTCATTACTCAAATCAATTCTGTCTGCTTAAAATAAGAGTTAAATAAAAATCATTGAATAAAACTAATGTTATCACAAGTGTTTTGTATATTTGTAGTCATTTGCATGTATGGATTTATACGCAAAGAAAACTGCCGTATAACTTTCAAATTATTACTTATCGCAATCGATTGAAGGCTTAAAATCCTCTGGGCATATTGATATTGACGCCGTGACGTCGTTAATCGTGTATATGGACGCGCAATGCCATGCGAATATTTCATCACAGTATATATTTTACTAATACGCAAATAGCTATTTGAATAGTACCTACGTTCCAAATACTATAATTAATACATATCATCATCATCATCAGCCTATTAATGTCCCTACTGCTGGGGCACAGGCCTTCCCTATGGATGGAATAGGGAGATTGGGCCATGACCCACCACGCAAGCGCAGTGCGGATTGGCGGGTACTAACGACTGCAGATGTAGCCGGGACCAACGGCTTAACGTGCCTTTCAAAGCACGGAGGAACTCGCGATAGAAGATTTTTGGTCACCCATCCATTGACCGACCACTGCGAAAGTTGCTTAACTTCAACGATCGCAGCCGAACGCGCTAAGAACCCGCGCCATCGAGCTCCTCAATACATATATACATAATATATTCATTCTAAACTTCAAGATGTTTTTCTTTAAATCTTTGAAAGGAAAAAAATGATAAGAAGTGACGATTTGCGATCCTTAGTGGGGAGCAACTACACCGTCATCAGTTACCCCTAGGGCTAAACTTGTTTTGCAATGCATTGGAAGTTACCATGGTTGCAGAATAAAAATTATTATCATAAGCTGTAATGTGTGAGCCGTTACGTATTTGTTAAGACTACGTTACTGTAAGGACAGTATGAAATCAGTACAATGCCGTGTGAACCTTCTGAATTCGGCGAATTAAACGTTAAGAGTGGCAGACAGACATACTTTCGCATTTATAAAAATATTTGTAGTATGTTAATTTTGCTTCTTTCTCCGAGTCTCAAATGTGCGAGTCGTGATAACGTATTGAAGTGATTACTTCAAATATTTGTAATATGTTCACTTCTTATGGGCTAACCGCTACGTTACGTAACGCGTTACAGCGCCAGTCTGTCTGGCTTCCCTTTCTGTCTAATATATTTACCTGAAGTTATCACTTCTGCCTTGCGTCCCGAGATGCACGCGCTTAATTTTATAAGTTTTTTTCTGAATGCGGAAATGTACACCAATTATGTAGGAATAATCAAGGACTCCTCGGTCAATATATTTATTGTGTAACAATAAAAACTACATTATAAAGTGTATGTAACATAAGAAAAGTAACATATGGGTATTAATAACAGTATGCTCGTGGGTCCTTCGACATATACTATATTTTGGATTTGGTGCTTCAAATTTGAAACTTAGCTACTTTTTAATTTTTAATTCGATGATTTTCATTAATAACCATGTCTATTCACGAAATTTCCATATGCATTAAAAAAATATAGTAGAATGCAATTAAAAATAATAATATTTTATTGTTTTCTAAAAACATTATATTTAAAAATAAATATTTAGAAACGTTACCGACGACTTTTGATTATTACTTTGACTTTTGATATGACGATTTTTGCTATCGAGTTACCTTAAAATCGTTGTAATTTGAAAAATTGTGAAATCTGTGCGCGCTCCTTTTAAATATGTTTAATTACAAACCAATTATTTATACTTCTTTATTTGGCTATTGCTTTTAACATTTTATGCTCCAATTGCAAACCTGAAATTCGCCACATTCGTGGTTTTTGAGCCATATATTGTTTCTATATGCTGGATACGAGCCTGTTTCCTTAGTCAAAACTGATTCAATCTTCCTAAAGTAATTTATTTTTGTTGTGTAACATCTTTCCTCTCGCTTTCCTGCAATTTGTGGGAGTGATTTCTTGAAATAGGACGGAAGTGTGTAACAGGAAGTTGCAAGAGCGCGCGCTATTTGATTTGATTTTAGAACATAATGTTCAAATGGCTTGTTCCTTTTGTAGTAGGTTTTATTTATTTTTTTACTAATATAAGGTGAGGTTTCAAATGTTACACATCAAACGCGACTACTGTAAGGCTCGCTCGTTATTTATGCCATATTACAGGCACTAATGTGAATCAGGCCGGGTATTACTACAATATTTATTTAATTGATTGAACATGCTGTGCTCGTATTAATAACTGTATCATTATCAGTTAATATATTACTTGCGTTAATTATTATGTCACAGTTTCACTGCCACTGCCACCACAAAATAGACATTACAGAAGGTAATCTACATACAAAGTGCGCTCACGGACTCGATATCTCGAACCACTTCAGACCACTGCAAGCGCGAGTTTCACCCGCTTGGGAAACGAGTCGGTAAACTTCTTTTTTGCAAAAATGAGCAATAGAAAACATGTAAATATATCTGTTCAGTAGACGGTTGATTAAATTCAACATTAAACAACGAATTGCCTTATTTATTTCAAAAATATTTTCAATCAAATTATAAATTATCACCTAAAAATACAATTGGTAAGGTAAACAAGGTTAGGTTACTAATTGTTTTTTTGAGGATCATTTAAACATGTTCCGCAAATTTTTGGTCACCCATTCTATGACTGGCCATTGTAAAACTAAAAAAAACAAATGAATAATTTCTAAACCTGTTTAGATTTCGGGTTAGTTGTACCGCTAAGAAAAAAATGGGTTGCACCATTTTTAAACATTTGCTCTATTTCCTTTACCGTTTTTTTAAACCACCTACGAAAGAAGATTTTTTATTGACCTTTTGCTAACTGGTTATGGAATAAGAATATTAATATAATTTATAATTGGTTAAGATAAAAATCTAAGAAAATAATTTTTGTTTACTAACCAGTTACGAAAATGTCAGTAATAATTATATATTGGTAGTTATATAATTTAATATTATTTCTTGATGTATAAATTAGGTCCCATTTAACCAGTTATGAAATGAAAAAAAAAACTTATTTCGTAGCCTGTTAGGAAAAATTTAATAAAAATATTTTTTCGTAGTTGGTTAAGAAAATAGACCAAAGGCAACGATAGACAAAATGAGGTCATAATATGAAAGTGACAAAAATTGTCCAAGCAACGCCAGTTAAAGTTATAGGAAAATTTAACTTTACCTTTAACTGGTACCGTGGTGCAGCTCACACATTTTATTGAAAGAACCACGTCATTATGTGTAAATAAAGCATCAAAGCCGCTAACATAATGCAGACGGTGTAGAACCTTGGGAAGCATGAGGTCAACTCGTGTTAAATCTCTTTTTTGCTAGCTCACCAGTATTCTAATAACCTGCATGCATACAGTAAATCTACTTCCTATATAGCGTGTAGTGTACATTTGTATGAACCTGACCTTGGTTAATAAATCTCGAGAATACAGCGAACAGCGTAATGTATTATTAACAAGATAAAATTGGATAAAAACTATTGAATTTTCATCTTATCGTAGCGTAATGAATTAAATCAATTTGTACCATGCGATGCGCATGGGGTCTTGGAGGTTTTATGTCTGACTTTATGTTTATGTCAAACTTTTCACTTTCCCAACTACGAAATGAAATGAATCGCAGAAAGCAAAGTTGCACATATTAAAGTCACATTCATTCATTTAATGGGAGACAGTATTATCTTTATACTAGTGGCCCGCCCTCGCTTCGCTTCGGTGTAGAGCTGTAGTGTAAACTATACTTTTTGTTCTCAGGCTTGTGCTATAAAGAATGACTTTATTTATATAATTACACGTGTTATTGTGAGTCAACCATAAAAGATAGACATATGCTGTTGCGGGATATTTTTTAGACAATTTTATCCTTACACGCCTGAATAGCTCGCAGATTGCAGAATTTATTCAGACTTAAATGACATTTATCGTTATATTTTGGACAATTCACACAATATCTTTATAAATTATAGCCTATGTGTTATTCTGATCTATAAGCTACATTACTGTAAAGTTTCATTAAAATCCGTTTAGTAGTTTTTGCGTGAAAGAGGAACAAACATCCATCCATACATCCATCCAAACAAACTTTCGCCTTTATAATATTAGTAAGGATGTAATCAGTATAGACGGAAAATGACATTTCTTCGGGAATGAGATGACTACTGAAGCTGCTTATATCTTCTCAATAAAAAAATGTAGCGTAGGTATTAATTAAAACATATTATTTTATACGAGCTTATAAAAATATTTAATAGCTAAAAGCTGTGCAAATAAAAATAAAAACTCCTAACTATGAAAAAACTTCAAATAACAATATTTTCTTTGGAATCACAAGTTACAGTTTGTCCAATAGTGCAGTAACAAGAATAACGGTAAATAACAGCAACATGACCTCCTTAACTACCAAACTGGTTAAGTGATAGATATTAAATAGTGAAGATAATAAATTAAAGTGAAACCGAAAAGTGTCTTCGTAAACATCAACATACCACAATAATAGCTCGAGCTCATCGAACTAGAATTAGTAACTTTGTATGGCTTCTACGAGGAGCTTGATGGCGCAAGTGGTTAGCGCGATCGGCTGCGATCGTTGAAGTTAAGCAACTTTCGCAGTGGTTGGTCATTGGATGGGTGACCAAAAATTTACTATCTCGAGCTCCTCCGTGCTTCGGAAGGCACGTTAAGCCGTTGGTCCCGGCTGCATCTGCAGTCGTTAGCACCCACTAATCCGCACTGGGCGCGCGCGGTGGGTCATGGCCCAATCTCCCTATTCCATGGCCCAGGCCTGTGCCCCAGCTGTGGGGACATTAATAGGTTGATGATGATGGCTTCTACTGCCTCTCGCAATCTGCCGCTCTGGGCCGTGGACCTCTTCGCCCTAGGGTAAATACGCCCCTGTCAGTAAGCAACTAATGGTTAAAATATCGCGACGTACAAATATAAGTTAATTCATAAACATATCAGGATTTTATCTTCCATTCACAGAGTTACTCGGGTGATTCAAATCTATATTTAAGACTAGCTGTGACCCGTGGTGTTAGCCGCGGTTTATTAGGGATTTTATGCCTCAGTAAAACGTAGCCTATGTGTTAATCCAGGCTGTCAGCTAACTCCATAATAAATTTTATTAAAATCGCTCCAGGCGCTCAGACGTGAAGAAGTAACAAACATACACACTTACACACTCACAAACTTTCGCCTTTATATTATTAGTGTAATAAAAACATTTTAGAAACCACTGTTCCGGTATAACATTTCCTTTTAGAAAATTATATATTGTTTACTTAAAGTTAACCATGGACAATTAGAAACGCAATTTCTCTCGAACATAAGTATTCGACTGTTAACTGACATGGCATGGGAGTCTATGACGATGACGTTTGAATAAATAGGCAATGTGTCCGTCCGTATACTCTCGCTTTATATAGTTTGCAAAACACCGCAATAGTTTTATGCCGGCACTTCACTTGGCTGTTCGTGTTTGCTATAAGTAGGTACGTAAACTTGGCATCAGTATGTCCTTTTCATTCCTTATAAAGCATGATAAGGACAGACCGCTGTCAAGTTTGCAAACAGCAAATACGAATAGCCAAGTGAAGTGTTGGCGTTAGGCATATATAATCTTAGACAATAGACAATCATTTTAGACGCTTTCCAATCATTTTGCCAGGTTAAGATTTTTCTTATTTGCTACAAGACAGAGTTATATTTTCTCTTATAAAAATATCAAATTAGGCTGAATACAAGATTTTTTCATGGATTTTAGCTCTTGTCACAATCACACTAATAATATTATAAAGGCGAAAGTGTGTGAGTGTGTATGTTTGTTACTTCTTCACGTGTATGGATATAACGGCTGGAATGATTTTAATAAAATTTGGTATGGAGTGAGCTGACACCCTGGATAAACACATAGGCTACGTTTTACAGCGGGAAAATATTCCTAATAAACCGCGGGCGGGTAACACCGCGGGGCACAGCTAGTTAAAATATATAGCTGGAATTGTTGCCGAAGACCACGTATCGATTATTTTACGAACACTTATCAAACTTTTTATATTAAAATAATGATAAGTTATACTTACAAATACTATCCTTTTAATCAAGATAAGTGCGTCATATTGCTGTTCATACGCAAGCAGTCAAATGATACAAATGTACTATTTTGGAATTGAATATAAGTATTACGAACACCTGTATTTTTATATTGATGTAAAATTAATATTTGGGGGAGGATGCCCCACTTCCTATTTTAGCTCTCATAATAATAACGTAAGCGCTAGTATTTATAGTAATCTGAAACTACGACACGGTTACAATACCAATGCTATCACTGTTTATGGTCAATTACCTCTACTTCCAACTATTGAGTCCGCTACTGTTTAATAATATATAGTTTAGCACGGCCCGACTGTGCGTCGACTCGATAGTAGGTAATATCGGTGATGTGACGTGGATACCGTAATCGCTATGAACCAAGTCATAGTATAATGTACCGTAAAAAATCAAACTATTACAAATCTACATTCTGCATTCGATATTCACACATGGGAAAATGCATGAGTACGTACCAACCTACTTAGTGGTAATAACAAAGTTTGAACAATAGGAGAGCTAAACGACACTATCAACTTATGACTAGTAGGCATTTGGAGAGTTTCGAAATAAAAATTATTTATTATAGTGATAACGAGGTAAAAAGTGTGTTTATTTTTACAGAATTAGCACTGCTGTTCAAATACTCAAAAGAAAATTATCAACCCAATTATTGTATTTTCTGACCAGGAGTTGGCTACATTTCGCCGGAGCCGATGTATCCGGACCGAGGTGACATATCGGCACCGCTAGACGCCGACATATCGTTGTTGAAGGAGGACAAGAATGCTTCCTTCTGTGGTAAAGAGACTCCTTTGCTGAGGCTGAGGAACGGAGCCCTCCAGGCTGGCCTCAACGACAGGTTGCAGCGAATCATCACCATGCGAAAGGTATGGCAAATTAATGAGCATCTATCAACGAGATTATATACCAAAGCTGCGTTCCACCTAGACACTGAATGCAACGTCTCACTATGACATTTAAATATTTACCAAAAATATATGAAACATAATGTCTATTTGATTTACGTAGGTTATGTCTTCTATGCGCAGTGAAGGTATGGAATGCAAAATGTTCAAAATGGTTATCTTGTTTGTAGGTTTAGATGATAACCGTGACGTCACATCCAAGTGTTCGAAAATAACGCGCGTTTAAACTGCCCGTGCAAAGTGGCTATTTTAAACTATTTTTTAGGCATTTTATAAAAAAATTTCGACGTTCATTTTTTTATACTGTACAAAGGAGATGTAAACTACTAAATGAAAATATAAAAAATGCATATTCCCTATTATAATAATACTTAACTGTTATTAAGAAACGGAACCAGATTATCCTTATAGAGTAAGATAATGTAAGTTTGTGTTTTTTGATTTTGAAATTTAAGTGTCTGGCAATAAATGCTGCTGTCATAATGTGTCTGGCAGTATAATTTCAAATTGTTTACAATATTCTCTACAACATGCGTAAGAATCAGTCCTCAGACTGTAAGTAAAGTAAATTAAATGTTTACGTACCTCTGCCACTTGATACCTGAGAATTGATCCACAGCACAAGTTAGCGAGTATGTATACGTTAATTGTACAAACTTGTATTACTCGATTATCCATAATATTTTGATCATCAGAAAATGAGTAAGGTCTGGCCGACTTGGAATCTTGGACGGTTACCTTTTACTGAAGGTTGATTATTAAAACTGGCTGGTATTGAACATATCTAAAGAGTGGAATCTCCTTAATCCCCGTCTGCGTCTGAATTTCCGATTTCATACAACCCGTAATATATTCAAGGCACGAGTGAATAGCCTTCTTCTGGATAAGCTCGTCTCGTCTACGTCATCACTGTCTTTGGGTTTGATGAAGGTCAAGAGCTATTCGTAATAATTAAAGAACATAAAATCTAGAGCATCTCGCTTTTTGTGTTTATATTTTAGATGTTAAATACAACTTCCGTGTAGCAAAGATGATACACCATCCTGCTTTGGAAAACATTTGAATCCCTATAGATATACATAACAATGAAATTAATGTTTAACCATTGCGTGTTTTTCTGAAATATTTTTGTGAGATTGCCGCATCCCTGTCTGTATATCTCCGCGGCGAAACTTGGAATGTTTTCTTTTTGCTACCTATGATTTAAGCCTTTTAAATTATCAAATACCTATTTATAATTAATGTTCACAATAATATCGAATTGGACTGATTGCAGAAACTCCTGTTAGGTATCTGTAAGTAATATTTCACGGGGAACATGGACAAACACTTACTAAAATATGAATTAAAGATAAATAAAGTTTTACCCTGCAGCCCTACGAGTATAAACTGATTTATTTGTTGCTTTTATAAATAATTGACGATATTGATATTGTAATATTAAGTGATTCAATAGAAATAAGTGATTCAATAGAATCACTTATTTGAATAGTGATACTTATATCAATACAAGAATGGCTAATTCATATTTGTATTTATAAAATTCATATTTAGTTTCGTTGTTTCTATATTTACGCGAATAAATTATATTTGTTAATTTTATTTTTTAAATAATCCATAACGCACAGAACCTGTTGAACAGCAATTAAGTATGTTTTCTTAAAAATATGGTAATGTAGAAACCAGTAAAAAATATTTTAATAATGTACTTATATGGTCGTAGGATGATTTAATAAATCGAGTGTTCGCGAAAATCCTAGGGATTTTGCGAAAAAGTAATTAGAAAATTGCGATACAATTTCTCAATCTTACAAAAAATGGGTTTTTGAAAACGCTAGTCGCCTCCAGTGGCGGACTAACAGGGGGGCGGAAGGGGCGGCCCGCCCCGGGCCTCCGATCTTGGGGGGCCCCCAAATGTCTCCGAATTCCCCTGATCAGAACCTAAACATCACTTTAAAAATGTTAAGAAAATATAACTTGAAAAAATTCCATGCGGCCCAGGCAGCAGACGGGACTCGAACCAGTGGCGGCGCGAGGTGTCGGCGACGTCGGCTACCGCCGACGGCCTCGCGCCTGAGGGGGGCCTCGCAAAAAATTTTTACAAGTTACCTATTTATTTTCGTTTCTACTGGCCTGGCTTAGCTAGGCGACCCCGAACAATGCGGGGAAAAAGCTAAGCAGATGATAATGACTTTTATTATTTTCGAACACGTGCGTGATGGAAGCGAATAGTACATTACAGGTGTTCAGAATCGTCTGTCTGGCAACACTATTTTTATATTTAAATTTCTGTTTGTAGTTATTTTTTGTCATCATTTGATTATCAACAATAAAACTCGTTTACTCATACGTTATTTTATAATTTGGCTCACTTAATTTAACGCTTTTTTACTGCGAAGTAAAATAGGCCTCGCGAACTTGATGTCGCCGACGTCCACATGTGGTCTAGCGCCGCCACTGACTCGAACCAGCACCCTTCGCAATCCGGACGAAAGCACTGATCAATAATGCTACCGCGGCCAGAGTTCAGTAAATTGAAGGCACGAAAACACATATAAACGCTACCAAAAATAAAATAAAAAATCTTTGATTTAGTTTAGTATTTTTTTTTGTCGATGATTCGTATTTGATTTTCCTACCCATATCCACTCCATAATGTAGGTATGTATGTTTATTTTGCCGAAATAATTTAATTTTTATTTAAATTTCACTTGCCAGATTTAACGAAATAAACATAGGAAACTATTTTTTTTTAAAGCTGGGGGCCTCATCCTGCTTTGCCGCCCCGGGCCTCTGATTGGCTTAGTCCGCCACTGGTCGCCTCAGTAAGATTACGAAAAGAATCGTTTGCTTATTATAAATATTCTTAGGTTTTTTGGTTCAAACTAGGTTATGTAAGTAAGTGGTTATTTTTGTTGTGTCTGTCTGAAAACAATTTCGTTAACAGTAATACTGAGCATTGTCATCTCCATTATCTAATGATCCGCGTTATTCGAAAATATGATTTATGAAATCATTCTAACGTCATATATAATAATACCTAAATACTATTGTAGGAAAACGTATTCTCTAATGTTTTTTTCTTTTTTTATGAAAGCTAAAAATGCGTTGCTACTTTTAAGAACCCCTGAATCGTGTTCTTCTTATTTATATAAAAGTCTTTTGTTGAACTAATTGAATGAAGGAAACGAAATGGTTAGGTGCTTGAAAGGTCAAAAGTGATAGATATTCATTCATTTGTAAAATTAGACATTCAATTTGTTCTGTGATGGAAACATTGGAATACGCCAACGACCGCAAGCAGATTGAAGTTTTCTCCAATCTTCGGGAATCTGTTATTTACAATGAATAGTAATGAAGGTTTGGAGAAATCGCCGATGTAAACTCTAAGATTACTTGGTCTTGGGGTCGATGGAATAAAATATTTTTAGGGTTCCGTACTTCAAAAGGAAAAAACAGAACCCTTATAGGATCACTTTGTTGTCCGTTCATCCGTCTGTCAAGGTCGTTTTTCTCAGGAACGCGTGGAAGTTCTGACTGAAATTCATTTCTAATACTCATGTCTACTGTCCCTTGAAGCTGCGAAAAAAACAAACTTCCATGCCAAAGCAATCAAAAGATACAGCCGTTTATGCACCAAATTTTCGAAACTCGCACGGGAATCGAAACCTACAGGGTACTTCCCATGAACTAAGAATCTATAAATTTGGTACGAACTAACGTCTTATAGTACAGATCAAGGAAAAATTGCGAATTTTTTTGAGTTACAAAAAATTGAAATTTTAAAGTTATCTCGTTTCTGATGAACGCGCAGAGGTATTAAATTGAGTTTGTACGGGACCCTCGATGCGCGAGTCCGACTCGCACTTGGCAGGTTTTTTAACTAAAATGATTATTAAGTCTAAGAACGCAAGTATTCTTATGTGAAAGTTTGTATGTTTGTTACTTATTTACGAAAAACGGCTTAAACGGCTTGGGATGAAATTTGGCACACATAAATTATATGTCCACATGTTTCCACATAGAAAATGGTTTCTGAGGGATTGTTAAAAAAGTTAACGCGGATGAAGTCGCGGGCGGAAGCTAGTTATCTACAAAAATCGACTAACTACATAGCTACCTATCCTATTTGTGATCTAACACTAACTCGTTAAAAACGTGAATAAGTAAATATAGAACCCGTAGAACAGGATATTTTTTCCACTGCAATTCGCTAGTCTAGGAAACGATGAAAGTTGTTAAGTTAGTTCAATCGTAAAGATCTTTTATTTTTACATTCGTCTTGACATTAAATCTTAGTTTTTTTTTATTAATGGTATGTTTACAGCGGTGTCATACCTTCATATCTACCTATCGACATCAAAATTCATATAACTTAAATGGGTCACTTCAAACAAGTCCCTACCTTTGCCTCTCACCAGCAAGTTATTGTAATGAAATTCAGTGTAGGACGTGAAAAATAGTAAACTAGCAGCGAGACGATAAATGTTAAATATTAATTTTTCTGTATAATGAATACTCAGATCTTAAACTGCAGATGAAATATGATAAAGTAATTCTTATCTTATGACTACATTACACTTGGTCGTTACCCTGAATACGATGCCAATGGACTTCGGGTAAACGACTAGTTGTAAATGACGGAGTCGAGTACGCCCGTATTCCGGTAGTTTTCTATTTGGTTACCCGACACCGTCTTCCAGTGTAAATGTCGCAGGGACTTGATAAAAATAGAGATTTGGCCAAATCCCTAAGCGATTTGAACAAATAACGGAAGATGTTAAAATAACAAGTACCTACCAAAGTAGGTAGGTAGTTACTTGCTAATGATACCTACTGCTCAGATTTAAACTTTACCAAGATCTTCATCTAGTTTATATTTATACATGTTATCTATAATTTTCTTAAAATAAAGATGGTTTATTAGTAAAAGTTATTACGTGTTGATTTCTGTGCCGATGGACGGGAAAATTAGGACATCTGATGAAACGGCTGTCGTGACTATGGGTGTATTCTGAAATATACACCAGTACGCTGGCCAGCGGTAATGACGTCATGATTTCGACGCCATATTGCACTGGTGTGCCGCCATATTATGCTGGTGAGAATACTGTGACGTATATAACAACAAAACGAGATATTGTCGTAATAGCTATCACTTCCATTCTTTTCAATAATCACAGTTAAAATTTATTATAAGTTTTGGAGCATGAACGTTGCACACAAATACGAGACTGCTTGAATATAGCGCAAGTTCATGATGTCACCGCGATTATCAGTGTATTTGGAACGAATCAACAGCATGGCGTCGATTCATGACGTCATTACCGCTGGCCAGCGTACCGGTGTATATTTCGGAATTCACCCTAAGTCTGAAAATAGGGCCATTTGTATTGTTTTTTTTGGCGATGACTTTATAGCCATATAATTGAATCTTTAAACAGAACGAATGCTGAGTGTATTATGCGACAGAGATTTTGACTATAGTTAATGCTACTCATTAACAATATGATGCACTTTTCAGTTTTTACAAGACACGTAACGCCGATTTTACAGACTCTACTGTTAACTGTCTTACTGCGATAATTCTCTTCTTCGACGGTATATTTGTAAACTTAAAAATCTGGGGTTAAAGAAAAAAAACATATCAGATAGTCATTAAAAAAAAGCATTTAACTGCTTTGAGCGTAATTTAAAATTTTAATAGAAAAGAAATGTTACAACAAATGATACAAAATTGATTTTCCCCATGTAGAAATAAAAGTAGAGTTCGTTCGAATACTATAAATTCAGTAAAATGTAATTAAATTTAAATATTTCATGTTGTTATTTAACTTCTGCCCCCTAGCATGAGCACCACAATATGATATATAATGCGCTTTTATCAAGCTCAATTGTCAAATTACTATGCAGTTTGACAGTTAGACGCGATAAAAAACGTGATATAATGTAAATTGTGGTACTCATACTACGGGGACTGATTGAAGGATGTGACTAATTTAACAACTAGGGTAAACTAAATATTATCAAGCTCAAAGAATAACATAAGATCCAAGTTAAGTCCTAATATAATTTTCATATTTTCCAAGTAAATTAAAGAATAAAAACGGAAAGCACTGTCGAATTTTGTAAAATGTATCTTTTGATATTATGTCGCTGTAAAGTGCATCGATGTTTTTATCGTTCACCTTGACGTTAATACTCACGCCATTAATTAAATCATGAAAGTGGGGATTTCCTAAATATGATGTCCACCATTTTATTACCTAAACTTAAATTTGTAAAGTTAATAATTGTTCTCGATATTATTTATCTAACTTTGTTTTACTATAAAATCTATCTCCAGCGGACTATCATCTATTGTCCATGATCTGCTATTTATCAGCTTAAATAGCTATGAAAAAAATTAAAGGGAGAAAAAGCATTACCTTTTGATTTAGTACCTTATTAGAAAATTACACGTGTAAAATAAACTTTTCAAAATGTGGAAGTTTTATTAGATTAAAAAGTTATCTTTAACTAAAACCTTCTTTCAGGAAGTAGAAAGTCAGCGAAAGACGTCATCGTTCCAGCGGAACGTTGTGTATCCACTCGCGATGTTACTACTGCTTGCCCTGACCACGATAACGGTGCTTATGGTGCTGCAGAATACACTGGAGCTGCTTATCGGCATTAAGGCAGTGCCGCTGAGTACCCGGGTAAGAGATTATCAGAGTACTTCTTGGTTAATATCATAGTATAAGACAGGTTAACTTCCATCTTAGAGAAGCCTACAGCCAAGTGGTACCTAATAAAGCTTTTTGTAGTGCACTGTTCCTATTGTGAGTATGAATAACTGTGGCCACAATTCCAACGCGTACAAATAAATTTGATGACTCATTTCTTTCTCTCACTATCCGTAAATGGAATACTCTGCCCGCTCACGTTCCCTCCCTCTTACAACCTGGAATACTTTAAAAGAGGCGTGAAGAAGCAACATGCAGGCCGGCAGGGTAAGGATGGCTGGTGTGGCAGGTAGAACTGCTGTATCAGCTATCTTCGCGTCTGGACTTCACCGTCACTTAACATCAGGTGAGGCGGAGTCATATGTCGGACCTATCTTTAAAAAAAAGAATGCGAAAGCTCTACGGGGTAGGGATAGAATGATCGATACAACTCATAGCAAACGTCTATAGCAGTATAATCGAAGACCACTCTTGGGATTTTAATATTCCACTGTCACTGTCAATGAATAATACTTTAGCATAAGCTAGCATTTTAATAAAATACTATTTGAACGGGCACAATCGCGATTTATGATGGCATATTGATTATTTTTGACCATATTGACTGTTTTGGGAAAAGTCGTCTGGAATCTTCTCAAACTGCCATAACTTTGCCTCACTGATTGGGGAAGGAGTTCTTTGTCGTCACAGTGTTCTTTCCCCCACAGCAATTCGAGCTGGGTATCGTCTCACTTCCGAAGCTGGGCTGGGCGTGCGCGGCCCTAGAAGCGTTCCTCATACTATACTTGCACGCGGCGTTGCTCACGGGGCTGCCACGTACTAATTAGACCCCAGAAGCCGTAGTGTTCTTTGCCTCACCGATCGTAGAAGTAGTTCACATTGTTCCCTCATCCGCAGCAATTCACGGTGGGCATCGTCTCGCTTCCGAAGCTGGGCTAGATGGCCGCGACCCTGGAAGCGTTCCTCATACTAAACTTGCACGCGGCGTCGCTCACGGGGCTGCCACGTACTAATTAGACCCCAGAAGCCGTAGTGCTCTTTGCCTCATCGATCGTAGAAGTGGTTCACATTGTTCCCTCGTCTACAGCAATTTACGGTGGGCATCGTCTCGCTTCCGAAGCTGGGCTAGATGGGCGCGATCCTGGAAGCGTTCCTCATACTATACTTGCACGCGGCGTTGCTCACGGGGCTGCCACGTACTAATTAGACCCCAGAGGCCGTAGTGTTTTTTGCCTCACCGATCGTAGAAATAGTTCACATTGTTCTCTCGTCCACAGCGATTCACGGTGGGCATCGTCTCTCTTCCGAAGCTGGGCTGGGCGGGCGCGGTCTTAGAGGCATTCCTCATACTATACTTGCACGCGGCGTTGCTCGCGATGCTACCACGTACTAATAAGACCCCAGAAGCCGTAGTGTTCTTTGCCGATCGTAGAAGTAGTTGACATTTTTCCTTCGTTCACAGCAATTCACTTTGGGCATCGCGTCGCTCTCGAAGCTGGGCTGGGCTGGCGCGGCCTTAGAGGCATTCCTCATACTATACTTGCACGCGGCGTCGCTCACGGGGCTGAGCACGCCGCTTCGCGCGTTGCACGTATTGCCGCGTGCGCGTAGAACGCCGCTCGCACGCATTATTGCTACGTGCGCGCTGTTGCTCGCGCATTCTACTGCGCAGCCGCTGCTCGTCAAGATATTAGGTATGTCCGCACCTTTTAAAAGCTATGGCATGAGTGCTTTACTCTGAGCTTGTAGTCACTCCTATTCAAAGCCGCTTTAAATTTTTAGCACCTAACCTAGTTAGTAACGTCACGCGTGCAGCTGTAACCACTCGCACTAACGATATTTAATACCCCTAGATACACCACGTGCGCTTAAAATGTGTCCCTATCAAGAAGTGCTTGAACACCACTTAAGCACTTTTTGGTTCACAGTCATGCGCGGACTGTTGAAAAGTCAAGATCGGAAGCTCCGTGAATAAATACAAAAATAATACTTATATTACGTAGATTGTCGTTTTTTTGACAAGTATCTTATCAATGTTTGTTAATTTAACGTATTTGAAGCTAATTTCATTGTAATAACTTACTATAAACTGATTTCGTAGAAAATATTTGTGATAATCAAATGAATGGTCGGTTATATAGCCGTCTCTTTTCCTCGAGCTCCGTACCTGCTGTATTCCTAACAGCGCATTCAGAATTACGCATAGAGTGAAAGAAATAGTCTATATTCTTCCGCCTATAGTAAGTCGTAAAATTTTACGAGCTTGCACTTCTAATTGTCATAACTCTTTGGCGCTTGCGATTAAATTAAGACCTTATTTTCTATGCATTAAAGGTAACTTCGAATGTTTAAATAATGCTTTATATTGTTGACTACGCGATCATCTTTCGGAGCTCCGAGAATCGTTCAATGTACCTTTTGGACAGGTTTCGGCCACAATTTTGTCCGTGTTGTTGTATCTAGGGTATTAAATATCGTTAATAATCATCATCATCGGCCTATTATTGTCCCCACTGCTGGGGCACAGGCCTTCCCTATGGATGGATAAGGGAGATTGGACCATGACCCACCACGCGGTCCCAGTGCGGGTTGGTGGGTGCTAAAGACTGCAGATGCAGCCGGGACCAACGGCTTAACGTACCTTCCGAAGCACGGAGGAGCTCGAGATAGTAAATTTTTGGTCACCCATCCAATGACCGACCACTGCGAAAGTTGCTCAACTTCAACGACCGCAGCCGAACGCGCTAACCACTAGCGCCATCGAGCTCCTCAGGTATTATAGGTATTATTAACTTCAACTTTATTTCCCTGGCAGGTATTACAAACTTCAACTTTATTTCCCTGGTAGGTAGGATTACAAACATAAACTTTATTTCCCTGGCAGGTATTACAAATTTCAACTTTATTTCCCTGGTAGGAAGGTATTACAAACTTAAACTTTATTTCCCTGGCAGATATTACAAACTTCAACTTTATTTCCCTGGCAGGTATAACAAACTTCGATCTGCTCGGCGAGTTCGGTCGCATCGAGTGGCTCGGCAACTTCAAGTTGGTACTCCTGTACAACGCCATATTCGCGGCCACAGTCACCCTCTGCCTGGTCAGCAAGTTCACGGCGAGCGTTCGTCGAGAACTGTACAACAGGTTGGTGGAAAACGTGAACACGGTCGCGCACTGCGTGTCTTTCCTCAACAACTGACGCGTACCGATCAACTGTCGATGCGGCAGGACAAACGAAAATCGACTCTAAAGCTGGATGCTGACTTTAAGTAGACCGCTTAATTAAGTCCTCGCCTGCGGGGTAAAGGACTTAATTGGGACGAAAACGGGGATCGTGAGAGGTGCGGGCTGCAAGCACATTCTTGTCAAAATCACAAGTTTATTCCGTTCCCCCATTCTCGTCTTCCCCCACACCCTGTACCCCGCAAGCGAGGTCTCAGTTAAGCGGTTTACCTATAGTAAGTACCATTTTGGTGTATGACGTATCGAGTTTATGTAACACAAACCAAAGATTGACACGTAACGTTAGTTTGTAATGTATCATTCGCGGCGAGTGCAGCGTGCTTCACTCATCATCAGCCTGTTACCTCTTTATTAATGAACGAAGAATAAGCTGGGATTAGTTACTCTGTTTTCTCTCTTTTCATTGAATAACAAATGTCACTTAAGTGATATGAACAAAACATGGTATAAGTAGTCTAAGCGTATTCCTCGTTTATTAATAAGAGGGTTAATGTCCCCACTGCAGGGGCACAGGTCGTCCCTATGGTTGTCATAGGGAGACTGGGCTGAGACCCACCACGCTGACCATTGTAGGTGCTAACGACTGCAGAGCTGGGACAAACGGCTTAACGTGCCTTACGTAACACGGAGGAGCTCGAGGTAATAAGTTTTTGGTCACACATCCAATGACCGACCATTGCGAAAGTTGCTAGACTTTAACGATCGCAGGCCGAATACGCTAACCATCTGGGCCATCGAGCTCCTCTCGACTGTCGATTTTTCCGCGAATCGCTTTAGAAGGTTACATTACAAGTCAGTTTAGGTAGATTCATCAAAAGGGTAAATCGTAAGGGCCGTCGTTCTCGTTATGCACTCAATTTAGATACCTAAGTAAAAATGCAATGGGAAAACGAAAAAAACTATTGTCTATTGTCAAATCTTACACATGCAAATATTTTTTTAATAACAATAACTTAGTAAATGAATAAAGTAAACACAATCTCCACGTCTTCCATTTTGACTAAAAATGGAGCACACTTGTCCCCGTAGCATGAGCACCACAATTTACATTATATCACATTTTTATCACGTCTAACTGTCAAACTCCATAGTAATTTGACAATTACGTGTGATAAAAACGCGTTATATATAATCGTCATGCTAGGGGGGCTGAATGAAGAACTCGAATGATACATTACAAGCAAACGGTGCAAGTCAGTATGTGTCACCGTAATTTAACGCGATTGCCTCGAATTGTATACAACCGGTACAAATCAGTCTCCAGCTTAACACTTCCGACTCAACGGCGACAACAGTGTGTTGTGTATTATTTTTTCTTTATTTATTTTAGGTATCTCTACCTACCTATTTTATTTTCAATTGTATTTCATGACGTGCTATTATCTTGTTTAATGTAAGTTTATGAAGTGGTTTTAGATGTTTGAACGACCGCAATATGAGTTTGAAGCCGTATTTGATTTTCGTTTGGTGTTGTCACTTCGTTAATAATGTAACTAACAATTAATTAATACTTTATAATTTCTAATCTTGATATATTGGCAGTTGATCAGTTTTATTTATGACATTTATGAATTTAAAATTAGTGTGATAACCTGTAGCCATTTAGTGTATTTGACTGTGCTATCTTTATATAAAGACATTATGCATTTGCACGTTTGCTCCTTTTAGTGCAAAATGTAAGGGACTGACTTGTATATTTTATTTTGGCTCTAATTTAGAAAGGCCTATTGCGCCATTTTGGTTATTTTTTATGATCTGACCAACAGCACATAAAATACAACCGATTTCTTCCAATGTTTTGTATATATTGTTGAAATTTACCTATAATAATATGTTTAGTTCTTAACCGCACATAAAAAATAAAACAATACAAAATGGTAGTATTTAAAAATCGTAAAATATGTAGAATACTTTTGTATAATGATAATAATTGACATTGAATGTAATACTGTAATTATTTTAATGGTATTGTCTGCATTTATTTTTATGAAATTAAATAATTTATCAATTTGTAATCAATGTGTCATAATTGTTATTTTTTCGTATTGTTAATTTGAAGTTTTTGAGGAAAGACTAGTTTAAATTTTAAATTATTTTATTACAAATGAGACTGAACTTGTTTATTTATAATATTATGGTTAGTGTGTTCCCAGATAATTTATTTTTGTTTGATTTGATGTGATAGATTGGCTATAGAAATTCAAGGGTAATGGATCAAGATGATATTTGCCATGACATTATAAATTATAAGTAGGTATATGATATACAACTCTTTGTGTAAGCCTTAAGTTAGTTTCTTTACCAAATGCTACAAATTTTAGCATACGTTTTCATCTTAATTAGGGAGATTTTCTGAAGTCGTAATGTAAAAAATAAAAGACATTTACAAGACTGCTTAATGTAATTACTTTAAGCACATTTCATATACGTTTTATAACTTGCTCAGTGCGACATCACATCTTCATCTTAATCTGCAATGACTTTGTGATGGATTTGTAATAATGATTTTGTTTGAGGCTCTTTGATTTCATTTCTAGTCGCGAACGATCTCGAAGTTTATTGCAGATGAAATATTGTTTATAGACTTCCATTATACTCCGGTTAAGGACATGTTGCTTTATTGTATGGCCTATGCTCTTCCCTAAAAAGGATTTTTATAAGAAAACAATGATATATTTGAATTAAAGCACATGATAAAAGTTACATATCTTAATATTTCCTTTGGCAACACTGTTCCTCTGTATGTTTTATGATTTTATTTTTAAATACCAATTAGTAATGTTTTAGTTGTTCTGACAACTGAATTTATTTCCTGATAAACTATCAACTATCATAGCATGGCAAAACTGTTGAATGTGACATTAAAATTATAGACTATCAGCCAAATCGTAGGTTTATTTTTAATGAATTTGAACTATTTTGATTTTAACCAATGTTTGAAGCATATTTTAACATATCCTTTAACTTTGTGCAGTTCATCCGCTTACATTACTAACGCACACATTGCAGCTTACTCTGTACTGGTATAACTCGCGCCAATGAAGAAATCGAAGCGACAAAGACATTAAAGTGGGCTCCACATTCCTGACGAGAGGACTCGGGAAAACGTTTTGTTGAGAATGGACGTTAAGGAGAGCACACGAGACCACTATTAGCACGAACCAATATCGAATTCTAATAGGTGTTAAATAGTAGGTGGTCAAATGTCAATAAGTTTTGTATGGATATTTGAACAGCGTCACAACGGATGCAACGAAAATTATAAATCTTCCATACAAAACTTCTTGACATTAAGGCGTATCAAGATCGAATTCGATATCGGTTCGTGATAAAAGTACGACTCTTTTCATTTCCGATCGGCAGTAGAAAATAGACGCTCGTACGGAATGGACGTCGTGAAAATATCTATCATAATATAATTATTCTGCTGTAATATAGTTATGTATTTAATAATTATTTAGTCGTTCATGAAATAAATCCTTCAGATTAAACGCAATAGTTCTTTAGGGTTATAATGGGATGGCTTTGATAGTTCTAAAAATAATTACTCTAATACTTTGATTATTTACTATTATAATCAAAGCTGTAACTCGCACTACACTCTTCTATTCGGATATATTGGCGTTGTTTTGGCAGGAATGTGGAGCTCGCCTAAGTCCCTCTTCCACAAATCCTGACAGTATGTGCGAGAGAGACAATTTCTTGTGTCTTTATTTTCGATTCGTGATTTTGTTGGCGCGAGTTATAAAAGGTCGTCATTCGTGCCTGCGATATCGCGTGACTTTCATTGCACTGAATTTTAAGCGCTGCGAATTATACTAATCGCCACTATCTCCAGTCGCGGGAATTTGCTGCCAGTCGCGGTAATTTTGACGCCAGTCGCGGTAATTTTGGCGCCAGTCGCAGGAATTTTGTCGACAGTTACCGCGAGTTGATGCATCTGAGGTCACGCGCCATCGCTCGTACGTTGCACGAACCTTTAGGGAATGTTTTACACCTGTGATTGAAAAGTAAGGAAATACGTGGTGCTACCGACTATATCCAAGTGGTATCACGAATTCTAATATAGAATTTAATGTTTATACCATGTTCGAATTAGACTAGAAAATGTTAATGTAGGATGTAGATAGCGAGTCCTTATTTTATTGAGCATAAAATAAAGATGTGTGCTTTTTTATACATTTTTGTATTACATTAACTTGTATGAAATGTTGAGATTGCATTTGTATAAATACACATTTAAAAAATTATGTCTTTTCTTTTTATTTGATACCCTTTCTGTATACGAATGTTTTGAATCGGATAGTATATTATTTAAAAAAAAATACTTTAAACAGAAAAAACCGTACCTAATAGTAAATGATATCTGTTCAGATAATGAAAATATTATTTTAGTTATTGTGAAATATTTGTTTTATGATTTATGACGAAATGTGGGCTAACAAGTTAGTTTATAACTTTATCCATTTCCCTCTTCATTTTATTTTCAATTCTTTGCTTAATTCATCGCTTTTTCATTTCATATCATAACATATTTATAAAAACCTTATTCGGTTATCTTGTTCAGTCTTGTTTGATGAATTCTTGTGTAGATTAATGCTGCCTGTATTAATAAAACAAAGAATAGTTGCTGAATATATACATCCATATTCATTCAATAAATACAAACCAACATTAAATGGCTATGGGCATTAAATTTCATCAATATTTTAATTTATTTCTCACATAAAGAAGGACAGTAATAATCTGCTGTTATTATTTTTTATTTCAGTTTGTAATACTGTTGTTTTGTTTTTTTACGCAGATTCAAATGGATAACTGATTTTTTAAGTGTACCAGAAGACAAGATTCCTCCAAACATAAGTCTCCGTGCTGATAGAGTGTCAGTGGATCGAACAATAAATATGCAAAAAGAAGAAGATAACAAAGAGAAAAAGTCACAATGAAATAATAAAATTATATGTTAGAAAACGGAAAAGCACGTTGAAAATGTTAAGGCATTCTACGTTTAAACGATGCGACCATCGCGTCATCGCGTTCTGGGTGTCCTAAAAGAACGCGAATACGGAACGGGTTAGCCCTGCCCCTCTCCCCGCTTCCTATCGACGCGACGCGATCATCGCGCGAACTTCAGTTAGGACACCTATTCATCATTAATAGGTTTGATTGCGCGTTCGCGCGAATAGATTTTTAAACATTTTAGTCGCGCAAATGCATCGCGCGAACGCCTATTAGGACACCTATTCTAGATCAATATGTTTGATCGTCGACTCGTACGATGATCGCATCGCTCATTCGCGTTATCGCGTTGTATTAGGACAATGCCTAAGAGTGAGGGAATATGCAGTGGCAGATCCAGAGTGGCTAGAGCCGCGTTGACATACTCATAGTCTGCTTTGACAAAGTAGATTTTGTTTGATAACTACTTAGTAATCACAGCGCACTTTGATGTTGGCGTCCAATCAAAGCAGACTTAGAGTTTTTCTTCTTTCGACTTCGCGGTTTGAAGATAACTTTGATGTGAAGAACGAAACAAAATGGCGTCTAATGTAAAACTGGCCAAGTGCGAGTCTGAATCGCGCACGAGAGGGTCCGTTTCATTAAATTATTAATAAAAATTAGACACTTTCTTATAATATCGAGCAAAAAACGGCGAGAAATACGTCTGTTGTATGGGAGCTCCCCTTAAATACCTATTTATTTAACAACAAACGATGACAAAGCTGCTTTGTCAAAGCAGACTTTGAGCATGTCAACGTGGCTTAAGGGTTAAAAACCCCAACAGAATCATAATCATTATTTATGTTATTTACGGGATTGTTAACATGTATCTTCTTCTTATAAGCGAGTTACTTCCGTGATCATGGCGCTTGTAACAGTGCCGAAATATCAGAAACTCGCTGAAAACAAGGTAAATGTAACAATCCCATAACATAAATTACTGTAATGTTAGTGACCATGAAAGTTTAAAACAATGGAATCATAGTCCTCACATACCAAATTTTGTAATAAACCTGTTGTTTGAGTAGGTTACCGAAAAGTGAACTTACGATTCGTTGACGCTTAATATTGAAAATCCTGGATCCACCAATTAATATTTTGAGTGCGGCGATGGAAGAAATAATGTATGAACGCTAAGTTAGATCTAAACATAGGCATTTTTTATCTGTACCATATAAGTAAGTTGTGTCGTAGATATATAGAAAGAACTAAGCGTTTACTATCCAGCTGTAAAGTAAATACGGGTAGAAACATGTAAGAGATGAAGCGACAGGGCCGGGCATTTAAGGCAGGGCAGGCGTGGCTATAGCCCAGGGTAGGCATTGTCCGCACAAGCGCTGTTTCTTGTTATAATTTTAAGGGGATATTGCTTAGATCATTCTTTATGTCTAAGAGTTATCATAGAGTGAAAACCATTTCAAAAATAAAAGTGGCTTTTAAATATGCTAAAGGAGAAAGGTAGTAAATGCGTAGGATGCATTATAAGTAGAACTAAGAATAAATCCTACGAGTATTGTTTCTCTGTTTACTTGAGAGATCACGATGCTGACTGACATCACGGCACGGCAAAGGATTTCATTAATTCATAATCAAGTTATTCTAAACCGTGTCGATACTATTACTCTAAGAACTCACGGAGTAGTTTTCTGCGGACCCGCAGCCGCTGTGGCTACGAGATTGGGCGAATCCGCCGCGTCTGCGGGAAATAGTTGTAAATGCGTTTTACCTATATGTTCAAATTATACACGAGAACCGGTCCCGCGTCCGTGGCGCTGGCGGGCGCGGAAAAAAATCACGCTGTGAGTTCTTAACCTTGGACTACGAGGGATATGACTGCTAAATGATTGACAATCTGTTTCTACCTTATTTCATTCAGTTTAGCAGAATTCTGTGATTGCTGGAATAGGTAGGTTTTCTGTGGATTGCCACGGCATATTCCGGCTACCAGCGCACGGAATTTGTGTCGTAAAGTCAGTTCCCGAACCAACGGTATATTGCCCACACTATTGTCATTTGAGCGTCGTCGTCGTGCCTGCGTCCGCCCAACGCGAGCGCTGGACGGCTTGCATTGCATCGCAATAAACGTCGAACTGACGCTACATCAGCGCTGCGAAGTACGGGGTTCGCCAGTCGCGACGATCGATTATCACATTTGGAAACATATTATGGATACAATTTTTTTTAATCTACAAATCAACAAATGATCAAAATATGGATTCACGATGTTTAGAGTCAGGGTAGGCAATGAGAAAATCCACATATCATCAGGCAAGCCATTGCCCTTAATTTTATTAAAAAAAAGCTCTTTCTTAATTAGCCACTATATATACCAAGATTCATCATCATCATCATCATTATCAACCCCAAGCTCGTCCGCTGCTGGACATAGGTCTTCCCTAATGCACGCCACTGTTCCCAAATATAAAAATACCAAGATTATTAAACAATAAATAAAGAAGCCATACAGAGAAACCACTCCATGTTTATTGAACTTTTTACTCCTGAAGCAGAGCAGAAATTACTTTTTTATTCTACATGTGATGCTGGCTGACCTAGGCCCAGTGTATAACATCGTGCCCTTATCTTGTCTTAATCTCTCGAGCCTCATCTCATGGATCTCATTCCTTGTTGGTTTTTGCATCTGAGTTAAAGAATCTCATTTTGACTAGCAACTAAAATGAAAGCAAGTGTGCACACACTTCTAGTGTCACATTCAATGAGACTCTTGTCGAGTGTGTACAGCCATCATGAGAATAAGTAGATTTCTTATGTCAAGATGTCCAAATGTGGCATAAATACTGGGTCTTATTCACTGCAGCTGATGATGCAATCAACTCTAGTTGAAAATGAACTGTCTGTCTGTTGCAAGGTTTTCACTCCATGATGATAATAAAATATTCTTGATCTGTGATGCTTATTAAATAAGATTGTATAGTACTTGATATTTATCATAATTGTATATGTATTGTATTGAAATGTAATGATTTAATTTTGTTTATAATTAATGAAAAGGCATGTTGTGAATTATATATTTTTAATAAATGATTTATTTACTTTCTATCAAATTATTTAATGGAGTGACAGTCATGTAGTGTTTACCACACCTTCTACCTTCTGCTTTTAGTATGAGTCTTCTTGCATTTGCCCTAACAGCTTCTAAGCTTTCATTACTGTTTAACCCTAGTATGAACCCTAAATTTATAACATCATGTACATCTCTGACTTGCAAATCATTCTGGGCCCCACTTGTAACTACAATATTCTTAGACTTTCCAACTGCATGGTATGCATGGGCTGTACTAATTATATTTTTTCTTGATGTGGAGTCTCTGATTGCAGATGAGTACATGATCTCAAAGAATATTCCTCTTTCAATAGCTTGTCTATATAGCTTTCTGCTAACTTTAAATGGTATTCTACTCTCCGGTTCAAATGTTATAATATCAATATCCATAGTCCCGCAGGCATATTGAAAAGCTTGCAAGGTTTTAGGGATGGCAGCTATTAAGTCATATTTTTTTATATTATCAGACTGATTTAATTTATGAGTAACACTTGAATCTGAAAATTCTATTGTTACTCTTTGTAATATATTCAGCTTAAGATTATCCTTGATTTCTGTTGGAATTTGGATTGGGTCTGGTATGAAATCTTTTTTATCTTTATTATCGCCTCTTTTCTTTTTCTTTTTTGGTTCTTCACTGGGCTCTTCCACGCGTGAATTCAGAGCAATAGTATTATATCCAAGTTTTTGTATTGATTCAAGTTTATTTAAATCAAAACTTTTATCAATGGATAGATCACAAAACCCCCAGTTTTGGCAGGCCATCATGGTAATCCAACGGATCTCATTCACAAATATCGAATAACCTGTAAATAAGATTTGTAAATGAATATAAGGTTATGCCTACTCTTATTTAATAAAAGAAATCCATAGATAGACTATAAGAACAATAATTTTTCATAAGAATTACCTGAAGCTACAACAAAATTAATAAATATTACCGTATGTCCCGTCAATACAACTTTCCAAGAACTTTATTTTTGTTTGCGGCTTTCTAAGAACTTTCATAAATTTTTGTTTTTTACAACAAAAAATAAGCTAAATCAATGACATTGACATATTGTGTCAACTGTCAATACAATGTGAGACTTTTATTACTGCCGGCCATTGACGCTACATTCAGATTTGTTATTCATGAAAATGCAATTGAATAGCAATTTAATCGATTTTATATTTGAAAATGGCTATTAGTTATGACATTTTACTGTATAGGCTAGATTTAGTGCTACACGGACAGTTCGTGCGGAGGACCGTCGCGTCGTCCAGAGCTATAGTATAGAAATCAACTTTGCGTATAGTAGGTCCCTGCGGAGAGCCCATCCGAAAAGCGCGTTCATGCTTCCGTATCTAGGCATCAAATTGAAGCGTTAGTAGTATAAAACTGTACGGACGCAGAACCGACCGTACCTACGTGTATGCTGGACTTGTTTGAACCGTACGTAGTCATACGGTAATCCGTGGAGCACTAAAAAACTGCACCTTACTGAGCTTCACTGATCAAATTCACCTTATTATCATATTATACATCTATTTGGAGGAATATACAATATATAGGTAGGAGGTATATAACATGGCATTTACTATTGAAAGATAATTGATTATTAGTATTAACGAGATTTATAAAACTCAAAAGGTCGTCCATGCATAAAAACTTCGTACAAGCATAAAACAGCCTTGTTGGTTTTTATTTGATTAGTGTCACTTTACATTTTATATTTTTTTATTGGCTATTGTCTCGTCCTATATAATCTCGCGCTGTTTTTTCGCCTGCCTTGTGTTGAAACCAAACTACGAATTTTAAAATGGGATTCAGAATAGTGATAGCCGGAAAATCACAATGCGATGTATTCGCGCAAATTTGTTTAGTTGCTAATCACTTGAAAGAAAATCTTTCTAATTTTTGTTACGACACAATCCAAAAGTCCGTTCTTGAATGGGAGGTAAGTAGGCCAAAGTAGGTATATTATGTATTGCTTACTCATGTCCCAATCATGGACCTGAAAAAAAGACGGATGTAACCTCGTTTAATCGTGAGTGAAGCATGCCAATGGCCGCCCGCTGACCGCGTGTGCGTGCGTGTTTTGAGGGTTGTCGGGTAAATCTACAATTTCCCTATTTCGCAAACTAAAACATTGTTAACATTATGTAATCAAATATATATTATAATAACGGGATATTTACCACGTGTTTTAATCGTTGTGAACTCCCGATATTTCAGCAATTTAAACGGTTGCACTTCAGAAACATGATGTTGGCCTATCAAATTCATTTTTATGAACACAGAGATGGAAAAGAAAACACTTGTTAGGTATAAAGAAATGTATTGTTTACGTATAAATATTAGTGTCTTAATATTAAGTATGAGGTAAATAATATACATTTATATTAATGAAATAATGAGTGATATCAGGGCTAATTGGAAACTTCATATTAACATTTTTTTATTATAGGAATTACCACAAATGCTAGCGGTTAGTGCATCCATCCGGACAACGGAACACGCAGATTTGAGTCCTGCCTGACACCTTGACAAACCTTGACAGAGTTGATTTTTTTTCTACAAAATATATTCTATAGATTTTTAATCGCGCAGATAGTGTACAGAACCAAACAACGTAGCCCATTAGCTATAATTATAAAATCTAAATCATCAAAAGGTGCACTGCACACAGTTCTGGTCGATGATGGGTTCCAATTGTTTTTACCAATGGCAGCAGTTTCGAATAACTAAAATCCAGTAATCATAAAAAGGAGGCAAGGGTAATTTTATATGAATAATATGGGTCCTGTTCTCTTCCGTTTGCAATACGGAACCCTAAAAAGGTAAATCTTGTCTTAACCGAGTCACAAATGCATGAATCTTCCGTTTGGAATACGGAACCATAAAAAGTTACGAAATCTTGTCTTACCGAGTCAGAAATGCATGAAATTACGATTTTTTTCCCGTTATAAAAGTTGCCACATATTTGTATTTTTTGTTTTGAATTTTCATCACACTAAATAAAATATAATTTAGAAAAGTTATCACGATTCGTCATTACTTACGCAAGGTAGGTGATTCCTTGTGGCTTTTTAAGTTTACTCGTGTGGTTTTTACATGATTTCATCACACAAGACGTCATATTTTAAAAATTTCGTCGGAGCAATTGAACGTCTGACTGGCGTTGTCAAGTCAAATCATCAAATGGCAGCGGCAGCGGGTTGTCGGACCTGCCCCTCTAGCATGACCACCGAAACCGCACCTTTATGATAAACCGATATATCGGCATTGGTGCCAATTCTGGCGTGATTCTCTAAACTTAAAACTAAATTTAACATCAGTCTCTCCTTTTCATTCTGTATAGAGAACGACAAGGATATACTGCTGTCAAATTTAAGTTTAGGTTTAGAGAATTATGCTAGAATCGACACCATTAACTATCAGACTACTGTCAAACTCCACTGTAGTCTGACAGTTAATGCCGATATATCGATTTATCATATCCCGTTTCGGTGGTCACGCTAGAGGGACTGTTTTAGGGTAGGAGGGCGTTTATGTGAGTGTAGGTAGTGTAGAACAAACGAAATTGTAGGACCTTGCATGCTTCATATCATTTTAGTTTGATGTTACGTAAGTATTTTCTTCAGGTCCGTGATCCCAATGTTATTTATCTAGCAATGATCCCGCACTTCACCTCTTTCCAACAACAAAAGAAAGAATAAAATATGTCGTATTTCAAGTTACAAAAAGTAGGTACTAAAATAAAATTTAGGTAATATCCTAACTCAGTGGTGGTGCTCGAACGGTCGATCGCGATCGCCCAGTCGATCGCTACTGCTTTTTGGGTAGACCTCGAGAAGATTTTTTTTAATAAAATAACACTGCTATCGGTAAAAGGCGACTTTAATTAAAGGAATGCGCGGTACTTGTCAACCGCGTTTTTTATTCATGCCGCATTTTCTAGAAATTTCGGCCGGCGCGTTTGACGGGAACGTTCGAGTCTTTCGTTCACGCCGATATAAATGTTGCGCCTGCAAGATTTGGAGTCATTCTGAATTGTAACTTGAAGGCAATACTACATCAGTACAAAGTTTATTATATTAAATAGTACAAAATGAGTGCAGCGAAGAAATCTAAAACGTATAATTTTAATAAAGATTGGGAGGAAGAATTTTTCTTTTGCATGGTGAATGTTAAGTGCATATGTCTTATTTGTCATACGTCAGTTGCAATACCTATGTAAGCGTGGTAACTTAGAAAGGCATCATAAAACGGTTCATATAAACTATGAAAAATATTTTCCGCCACAGAGTGAATCAAGAAAACGAAAAGTAAGAAAGAAAGAAAGAAAAATGTTTTTATTGCTGACAACACATAACATACACATAAAAATACATTTAACATAAAGTAAAACAAACCATACAAGTAAAGTTAACAACAATGAAAAACAAACAAACAACAGATAGTAAATGTGTATTTTATGTGATGCCAACACAGGATATAGCTCAGCTCAGGTAAGATTCCTGCTGCACTGGTATTCTGCCATACCCAGAGCAGTGAGTGCAGTGAATGAGAGCAGCAAGTACGTGATTTCGTATCTCATTTGAAAAAAGAACAAACCATGTTCACAAGACCAGCCAAACAATCAAAAGCTGCTACGATTGCGTCATTGAAAATATCTCATATATTGGCAAAACACAAGAAACCATTGGAAGATGGATCCGTTTTTCTTCTTTCCCCGGGCTGCTTCTCACGGGGGTGCGCCCCCGCGGGGTTGGGCGCCGCTGGTCAGCGGCCGTCTAGGTGACGAACCTTGATCTTCTGCTCCTCATCCTCTTCCTACCTGCTCTCGCCAGGGAGCTGGCTGCGCGGCCCTCAGCGCGGTCTGCCATGCCGGGTGAGACCCCATCGGTTGTGAAGGAAGCATTTATTGAAGCGGGTGTGACTTTATTTGGAAATTTTAAAAATAAATCAGACATCATGTCTGCTATTAGATAACTTCAGTTATCTCGTCTGACTGTCACAAGTAGGGTTACCATCCGTCCAGATTTGTCCGGACATGTGGATTTTTAATGTGTCCGGATTTTTTTAATTAGATGGAATATGAGTAAAACTACTTACTTAATTATATCAAATAAGTAAAATAATCTTCATTAAGTTCTCATTCATTTAAATCAAAATATAAATTATCTTTAAAAATCAACAACGAGACCCCCTCGTGATGCGAGCGTACCACGCGTATAATATCACTGTAACTAAGTGGGTGATGTTTTCAATTTTTGACTAAAATGTCCGGACTTTTATTGAAATGTCCGGCTTTTTGTCAGGACTTTTCAAAATTTTAAATAGTAACCCTAGTCACAAGGCATATTGAAGTCATGAGTCAGGACATGGCAGATAAACTAAAACATGATATCATGGAATGTACATACTTTTCTTTACAGTTCGACGAATCCACCGATATGGCAGAATCAATGACATGTTGGCTAAGGAAGAATTTATGACAATCATTCCTCTGAAGGAAGGAAGACCCGTGGCGAAGATATATATATGACGTTTTCTTCAATTTTGTAAAAAACTACAAGCTACCAATATATAAATTAGTGTGCATTACCGTTGAAGCACCAGCAATGACTGGAAACAATAATGGTTTTGTGGCATTGTGTCGTGCTAATGAAGAATTCCCTTAATTTTTTTCATTCCATTGCATTATACATCAACAAGTTTTGTATTCAAAAGTTTTAAACACGAAGGAAATTATGGGCATTGCAACAAACATTGTGAATTCCATCCGTGCACGTAGCTTGCAACGGCGGCTCTTTAAGTTGCAGTAGGAAGATTTAGTTCTTCACACAGACGTCAGGTGCTTGAGTTGCGGAAAATTCCTAGAAAGGTTTTAAGAATTATTGCCCGAAATAACAGCTTTTCTAGACGAAAGAGGTGATGACACTCAGATGTTGAAAAACGAAAAATGGCTGACTGATTTGGAATTTTTGACTGACATCACAATGCACTTAAACACCATTAACTTGGAGCTTCAAGGTAAAGGAAAAACTATTATTGAAATGATTAACGCAGTTAACGTATTCAAAAGTAAATTGCAACGTATGACAGATCAACTGAAAAGAAAGGATCTGAAACATTTTCCGTCTTTGAAAGTAAGTTGAATTATGATACGTATGAGGCTGAATTATCAAATATTTTTGGACAATTCGAAATGCGTTTTTGTGATTGCAGTAAATTGCCAAATATAGCATCATTTCTGAGTTATCCTTTTTCATGTAAAAACATTGAGGAATTAGCTACTGAAATAGCAAGTCAGTTTAATATGAACTCATGTTCTGTTGGAAATGAGTTGGTGCTTTATATCTGAAGATAAATATCCGAATCTAAGGGAAATCGCCCTTCAACTGACGGCAATGTTTTGGTCAACTTACTTGTGCGAGTCTGTATTGTCTGAAATGAAGATAATTAAGTCAAAATATCGCAATCGACTAACTGATGATCATATGTCATCATGCTTGCGATTAGCGAAAAGCACTCAGTGGTTATGAACCATCTTATGAAAAGTATGCTGAGGACATTCAGTGCCACGCTTCAACATCCAAAGTCACTCCATAGTTAAGTTTAACATCATAATAATGTAACTTTTGTTTTGTAACAACCATAAAACTCGCAATTTTGGATAACTTTGAGTTTTTTCATTGATATTGTAGAGAAGAACCTAATTAAACCTAACCCAAAACTTGACTAAAATAATGTATATTTTGCGGAAAGCTAATATCTATATATGCTACGGTACACCCTACCTAGGTTGGTAAGGTAGGTGGGGTGTATCGTGTATGTACGACAACCCTACATCACACAAACTTGCAGCCTCTCAGAGTCGATCGTAAGTAGTCTAAAAATTTTGAGGTAGATCGCTAGCAGTTCAAGTTTGAGCACCCCTGTCCTGACTCATTTCTGATTTTCATATTAAACTGTACAGCAGCTTAGGATAAGATAATCCTAACATTATTTGATTATTGTATTTTTATTTAGACCTGGCTGTGCAAAATAAATCATAAGAATAAATGGCACCACTTGAAATCTCCATTAATTTGGAAAGAATTGTTAATGAAAGGAAGCAAACCGTACTACATAGGAGGAGCATCGGAGTTTTTGGATTATTGTCATTCTTATTACCAATTTGACTCTTTTTTATTATCAGAAAAGTTTAAAGGGTTGACAGAAAACTTTTCACAGTATCAAAACAAAATAAAAAATGAAAAGGAAACGAATATAGATGTAAAGGATCTAAAAACTTTATTTGAAAAGCCATCAAAGAACAACTTTACTATTTGTATATCAGGAACTGGATCACCAATAGCTATGCACATATTATCTGGGCTATTAGAAATGTCGGTTGGGGAAAAAAACGTTTCAAAAATATATATTTATGACGACGAATGTTCTGAAACATTTATGGAATTTATTGAAAGAGAATGCAGTTATATTAGATCTAATAATTCTGGAAAAGTTGTTAAAGTTGTGAACAAAATAGGAACAGCTCTAACACATACGGATTTACTAATTATTTTGAACCACATTCCATTTAAGTTAGTAGTATTAAATATATTTTAAATATTATGTTAAATACCTATAATGCTTAATTGAAGAGGAATGAAATAACTCTCATTTCTAACCTGTTTCAGTATTGAAAGTAGTATAGGAGATTGGCTACAAGCGAATAAAAAGATGATGACAAACTTGGCAATGTTTATCAATGCATCAGCTTATCGTAAAATGAACATACTTTTTCCAAATTTGGGACCAGCTTGTTTTAATGCTACGGTACTAATGAATTTAGTTACAAATATTCCTAAACGTAATATAGTAGTTGCTACTTCGGACCTTGGATTAGACATTGCTGCTATAGCTGCAGAAATTGCTGAAATTCCCATGAGAAATATGTTTTGCCCACCAGTATGGGGATTTGTTGGAATAAACCATTTAGTAGATATAAGAACTACATTTCATAAATATAATTCATTCGAGCCATACAATCGTTATACTAAAGTGAACAACTCTTCTTTAACAATTGGGAGTCTTACTCCAGTAATGAGGACAATGGAATATTTGATGTATTTTGATGAAACATTGTGGTCAAAAGTAGCTGAGAAAAAGGTATGTGTGTATATCTATGTTGGTGGTATTTACTTATCTTAGAATGAAGCAAAATAAAATACTGAGTTTAATTATTTATTTTCAGAGCAAAATGCCGATTGGGCATACATGTTTCAATAAAGCGACCGCTGCACTAAATGTTGTTAATTTGTGGCTGTTGGACAACAGCCCAACCAATATCGTTAATCTTGGAATTCTTTGTGATGGTAAAGTTCTTTTCGTTCTGTTTTTTTGATTAGGTACCCGTTAATTGATACTTTACGAGTAGGACATTTTTGTAATACCCAACTTTATTACTTAAAGGTTCTTTCGGACTTACTTTTCAAGGGGCATTTTCCCAACCAGCACAACTCGTTGATGATGTTTGGATGCCCGCGAATGAATTTTTGATGCCAAGAGACGCACAGATGAAGTTGCCATACATGGAAAAAATAGCAAATTTATGTTTGAATATGAATAAGGGAGATTTTCCAAAGATTGTTAAATATCATCCTTGCTATTGCAAACCAAAATACTATAAAACGAATAAGGAATGGTAAATATTCTAATTTAATGGACTTCTTTCATTTTTTTTTTGTTTTTACGTGTTCTTTGTGTAATATTAAAAAAAATGTTAATCTATTCGATGTTGGACCCTAATACGAACGTTGAGCGAGTCGAGTGTACGATAGATCAATCACATTCAAGCACAGCACAACACTATGAGGAGATTGTGAATGAGAATGAAGATGGAATGTAGTGAACGAAACGAACGAAAATCAGTCAGTCAGAGAGAGAGGTCGCGACGAGAGGGATATATTTGTGGCTCGCGGAGGAATGTTATGACGTGCAGTACCTAACTCTTTGTTTTATAAATTATTCTAGTTTTTTACTCCATACGCGATAATTATAATAATGTGATAAATTTGATATAAAACACCGATCCAAAACAGTATCGAGACATGAATAGTTCCAAAGTATGATTGTGCCAATAGAAGATATTAGCATAGTTAGGTGTTTGTATTGGTTAAGTTGTGTGAATGTTGTGCCAATAATGAGATAGTGTAGTGCTGTGATGTGGTTGTGGGACATGTGGGGCGTGCTGTGGGCTGTGGAGGCTGTGGCGCAGTTGATGGTGGCAGTAGCGACTCCGTTGGAAGCTGCTCCACCGATCCCGCAAGGTGAGAGGAGAACCTTGTCAAACTGCCACCTACGCTGTCTCGTTCGCTACTTATTTTTATTCTACGATGTCTTGATGTCCACTTTAACACTTTAGTATCTTTGCTCGCAATTGTTTTGTCTTAATAAATAGTTGCTCTGTAATGCTTGTAACATCTTATGCTTTCTAATAAACTTTTCGACAAAACACCTTTGTTTTTCTTGTATAGATTTATTTTATTTAGGTTGCTAAGTATACTTATTATGCTTCTTATCAATCAAGTAGAAACTTAACATTTTCCTTGAATAACTGCATGTTCTTTAAATCCTTTCGCATGTTATTCTATTGAAATCTTTTGAACTTAAGTAGTTTTGGTTAATGGTATGGTGAACAAGATAAAAAATAGACATGGGTTGGGTGCACCATTATTGACACTGAAAAAAGTTTTAAAAGTAATTTAATTGTGGAAATAGGTACAAAATTATTATTGCATACTGGCCAAAGAATCCAATAATAAGTTTATTGGCTTAAAGTTCTATTGGAAGTACCTGTAACTAGATTTTTTTAAAAGTGTTCTGATGAATGGACGCAACTGATTTAGTTTTATGAAAATTACTTTTCAATTTCCCGTATCCAAATAATATTTTTCTTTATTATTATTTTCTGAAAATATTATCATCATAAACGTTAAAACGTACTTGAATGTTCAAATTTGAAGTGTTTCAGATCCTCCAACTCAATATTTTTTTCAGTAAACCGAAACTCTAAATTACTTAAGGACAGTCCAGCATTTGGTAGATGTTTGCAAACGAGAGGAAATAAAATAATTTGTCAATTGTAATTGTAAATCACAAAGAGGTAGAAGACCACCCAAATTAATGGGGAAGACCCACATTTTGAGGAGGAAATAAGTATGAATCATAAGCACAAATAGATGTTTAATAATAATTTAGAATTTTCAAAACAATGACTATTTAATCCACAATCTTATACTTATTATAGGGACAGTGGGAAAGCAAAATTGCTTAAATAACACTTAAGTAACTTTACATCATAACTCCTTGTAAATGAGAAGTAGCACCATGAAAATTATAATATATTCATAATAAAATATTTTTTAGATATCCTTCTATTACAAAGTTACATACTGTCTTTACAAATAAGATGTTGCTTAAGCAAAAATCACTCAGCCTGCTATACATTTATAGTCCTCCAAAAATCAAACCTTGCCATAAATATTCTTAGAGGATTTTTTTTTCTATTGCCTTAGTTATTTGTTATTGTGTGTTAGTTTATATATTAATATAATAACATTAAAGATATTATGAAGCCCATTCAATTTCTATAGGGTTAATATAGTCCTTTAAACATTGAGGCCTGTTATCAATAGAAACACACTCTCTACATGGGAAAATTCTTCATTGTCAATCTTAAAACTTCAAATCAAATTCCAACAAATTAAGTGGAATCAGGACTAGATGCCCTCCAGTCTTTAGCTCTGTTGAAGTCAGCAAAGCTTCTATAAAGCTACAAGCATAAACTTGGGCCATTCTGTATATAATAAACCTTATTTAATTAAAACAATACAATTAGAGATAGTTAATAATAGTACAGGGAAATTGAATATTTTGAATTTTATTTCACTCAATGTTTATCATTTATGTGTGGATTATCCACTGCTTTTTTATTGTTACAAGTAAGCTCCTAACATATGCACCGAGTGCAACTTTACACTCTAACGTTTCCATTTCGATATATAATGTATGGAACATAAATGTCTAATTTGACAATTATTGCACCTGAAGTATATATAAGGAACGCACACCCAAAAACGCAACAAAAGTTAACAACATAAGCATAAAATTCTGGGTGTCTTTAAATAAAATGAATATTTGTTAAAGAATGACAGATTCCAAATTCAAATGCAATATTATGTTGTTGTTAGTTGTCATGGTATTAATGGCCGGACATATATTTACATATTGATTTTTTAAACAGGATGTTACAAATAAGGATCAGGAGTTCTACTCTTTTTCTCAGAAACGAAATTTCGGTAACAAACAAATTTTAAACGAAAGGACATTGGGCAAAAATGTATGGACACTGCACCCACGTCCGCCAGGGCTTGAAGTACACTTGTTTGAAAGGTATTATAGTCATGATCATCTGTGCTAACGCGCATCAAATTGCATCCCGGGGATCTTTAGTTATTTTAAGTTAAATAGGTATAAGTCCTATAAGGAACAAACATTGATCGGTTAGTAATACATGCAAATCGGTTTCCGAACCGAACCGCCAAATTTTCAGTAAACCGCGGTTTGAACCGGTTTGAACCGTTTGACGAGTTGACGAATGAAGCTTACGAAACAACAGGTGCTATTTTTTTTAATTCTACATATTTTGTTGATATTACATCGTGCAAATATTTAAAGGTAATTGAAAAATAACAATTAAAATATGAAAACAAATAATAATAATCAGAATTAAAAATTTCAAAATAAAAATAAACAAATATCTATGTAATACCGTGTTTAAAAAATTACAAAAAAATATATAAACTCTATTATTTACATAAAATCGTACTTCTTAATTTTGAGAATAAAATACAATTTTAATAATCAACAATATAATAAATACGTAACTTATTTTTGTAAAATCATTTGAGTCGTAGAAACTTAATATGGTACAAACAACTTAATTAAAAAGTTTTCTTACAACTATTTAGGAATAATATTTGGTCTATTTTTTTAGAAGCTGGGCAATTACGTCGCATATTACATAATAATGAAAACAAAATTACACCGTCAAGTCAGTCAAATCTACCAGAGTCCGTTTTATTTCGGTTCGGTCGGTAAGTCGGTTATGGCTGTTGTATTTAAATTGACGATGCGCGCTAACCGTATCCGCTGCTGTAAGTCTTTTCGTATTTTATTAGGGTCGGTAAAGCACGTCAGGAGCCGCACGCGATTTGTGGATGGCGGCATAAACAAGTATTGACAGGCGCGCATGCGCGCAGCGCGATACGAGCGAATGCCACGGTAGAACCGGTTTACGAAGACGTTAACCGATTCAACTCGGTCCATGCTCAAACCGGTTTGAACCGGTTTGAAAAGTCGAGTCGTTACATCTCTATGTGTAATATCTTTTAACTACCAAGATATTTTTATGGTGTCATATCTTTTGAATGCCAGGATATTTTTTACGGTGTCATAATAAAAAAGGCTAGTTTTTCATAGATCTATTGATTGGTGCTAATTGCATTGTTGGTGGAGCTGGGTGTGTTTTGCCCATTTTCCTTTCGCCAGTGACTACTCTTTTTGAAGTGAAACCTCTTTAGGCACGTTTGACTTACTGGCGAATGTGTGACGATTTTTGCGTTATGCGGCACCGGTAACTCATCGGTAAACCGCACAAAATACATGAATCTAGTGCTTGGTGGGTGATAACGAACCCAGCGCAGATTGGTGGGTTATAACGAACCCAGGGCGGATTGGTGGGTGATAATGAACCTAGCGCGGATTGATGGGTGACAATGGACCTAGCGCGGATTGGTGGGTGATAACGGACCCAGTGCGGATAGGTGGATAATAACGGATCCAGCGTGGATTGGTAGGGGATAACGGACCCAGGGCGGATTGGTGGGTGATAATGGACCCAGTGCGGTTTAGTTGGTGATAACATACCCAGTGCGGATTGGTGGATGGTAACGGACCCAGTGCGGATAGGTGGATAATAACGGACCCAGCGCGGATTGGTAGGGGATAACGGACCCAGGGCGGATTGGTGGGTGATAATGGACCCAGTGCGGTTTAGTTGGTGATAACATACCCAGTGCGGATTGGTGGATGGTAACGGACCCAGCTCGGATTAGTTGGTGATAACGGACCCAGTGCGGATTGGTGGATGATAACGGACCCAGCGCGGATTGGTGGGTGATAACGGACCCAGTGCTGATTGGTGGGTGACAATGGACCCAATGTGGATTGGTGGGTGATAAGGGACCCAGCGCAGATTGGTGGGTGATAACAGACCCAGCGCGGATTGGTGGGTGATATGGACCCAGTGCGGTTTAGTTGGTGTTAACGGACCCAGTGCGGATTGGTGGATGATAACGGACCCAACGCGGTTTAGTTGGTGATAACGGACCCAGTGCGGATTGGTGGATGATAACGGACCCAGCGCGGATTGGTGGGTGATAACGGACCCAGTGCTGATTGGTGGAGTTCAGGTTAAGTTTAAGGCTTTCAGATCATTGGAGCTAAAGAAGTTTCACTTCAGTGGTGTGCTCATAAGCACACTCGCTTTTTTTTCGAACAAGCACATAAAGTTAGGAGTCGCAAACAATTTTCGTGAACGAATGGAATGAGTTACAATTTGTGAGTACTTTTTATGTTTAATTTC